TTTAGCAGTCATGTCTGGTTAATCTAGCCCTAGTCATGAGTACGAGCACGGAAGTGGGTCCAGACGCATTCGAGATGTTCGTTGACCAGGTCGGGCTTTAACCCATCCTCCCCATCAATGCACACGATGGAAAAGGAACTTCATTAAGAAGATCCTGATCGAAGCTGTGCCCACCACCCCGTTGATCTGTGGCTGGGACACTGTTTTGACAATCACTAGGGACATTAAGGGAGAGAAAGGACTTTTTTCGATGACGCCATCGTGAATTAGAGAGTTTAGCCCAAGGTGAAGCGGGCTGTCGTCGCTCTAGGGAATGGGAACCCACTGATGGGCTTCCGAGAGCCAAAGGACCGGCTAGGCCGGTGAGAAGGAGGTTAGCTTTTCGGCTCTTGTTGACCCCCCTACTTGTGTATTTTGTTGACCATTTATCTGCCTAGCCGTATATTCGTATCTGTATCTATATCTAGGTACGACGTATTCGTAAATCCAAAAGTCAATGGAAAAAATAAAACTGGGGATGGTCCATATTGTCGTTTGTGAGGTCTCCGTCTCCCGTAAAACTCATCCACTCATTTCCTCCAGCTTCCGGGAAGACTGCAATTGAGATTGAAGGAAGAATGGGGCCATTTATTCCTTTTTCCTGGCTCAGGAAGAAACGATTCTGTGACCAGGACCTGGCGTTGAAGTCAAAAAATTAGACTTCGTGTTCCACCTTAGCTGGATTCCGGGGGAACCTAGTTAGGCGCCACCTGGGCAACGGCTGGCCTTTATCGTCCTCTTCCTTTCGGCAGTATTGCCGTCCAAACCGTGTTTGTTGGCTTTTTTATCTATTTTCTTCGTGCACGCTCGAAGTGGAGAACTAATTATTAATCTTCCGTAGTAACGTACACAATTGTGTACATATAAGTCCTAATTGGTTATTCCTTTAACTTTATCAGTTTTTAAGAAGTGCTTGCTCTTATTTTCCATGATCACCGGAGTAATACAACTCCCCTCTCTCTCTTTCTCTCTCCTCACTACGTCTCGCTCTCCAGGATATGCACAAGAGGAGGTTGGGTCGGGGCCACATCAACTGGTCCCAAGGTTCGCGAGGACGTTCTGGTATAGAGACTATATTTCAAAAATATTGCAGACTCGAACCAAGTCACTGCTCACAGAGAGAAATCCGAACGCGGGATGGGCTCGGCAAAAACCGGGGTTGACCCAACCGGGTAGTATTGCGAGTATGTTACACCGTAATGTCCATGCAGATGACTTGCTAACGGGAATCTTGTAGCCCACGGAATTCTACCCCATATGGGTCTCTATGACCGTGAGCGTGTCTCATGCGCCCCCCCAAGCAAAGGTCAACTCCAAGGAGCCGCCATAGTACAAACGCGAGGTTCACAATATAAGATCTCCGCGGAGGAATTTGTCGTTGAGATGGACATTGTAAGACACGCCAGTTCCTGTGGTGCCAGCGCACCCACTGCAGCGATTTGACCTCCGCGCTGCCATTTCGAGTTCTCTCCGCCGTTGAAGAGGTCTCGTCCAAGTGGAAATTCCTTCTTGTAATTACAGATCCAGTTGAGCCGGCGAGTTAAACGGTTGTAGCATTTACAATTTACAAGAAACAAGGCCACGGAGGAGACTTTGTCTCGGATGGGTGTAACTACGTCCCCTGGTCGTCGTGCTGGCGCCTTCTCCCCGGCGGAAAGTCGTCCGGCAGGTGGGGCGGAACCCTGCGCTCAGCTCACTGCTCCCCCAGCCGGCGTTAAAAACATTAGCTCTCCACGCAGCCCACCGGCGGAGGTCTCTTCTCAGCGGATAGGACCGCAGCACTGGCGAGGAGTGTATCCATCTGTCTAACGAACTATATATACATATGCATATGGTGAAAGACAATCATGATACCCACCAACTATAGACCACTGGCTATAATACCCACCAGTTCCATTACCTATCTATATACACATATATCACGATGATATATACGGTTGTGGAAGAGAGGGAACAAAGATGATAACATGATTAAAATCTATATTGGGGAGAAGTATGAGGAACCCATCGACTCCCAGCTGTGTGTATCTCCATACACATACGGAAGAGTACGAAAATTAGGCGGCGGAAACGGGAGGGAGGGGGTCAGTGCGGTGAAAATCTCTCTCGTCGGTATGCGAGGATGTGTGACACAAATATGAGGGAACAACCCTCTGATTACCATGCGTGTCATCCCCCCTGCGGCTTGAATAATCTGTTTTGCAGTTCTGTCCCACAATTTGCTTATTTTCAGTAGGATTAAAGACCGTCAAGAATTCTTACTGGGAGGATTAGTTCCACAGGCACGTTGAAATGGCAGCTTATGCTTTTGAAATTTTCTAGCCCGGGAACGAATTACCTTATACTGTTGAAAACGACAATTCCAACGACAAATAGGATTCAACCTGAACAAAATGGCCAAGTGAAGAAAAAGACGAAAAAGAGAAAAACGAATTTCCTCTCATACTTTTAGAAACACCCCGTCAGCGATCCTGCTAAGTCCACGGTCTTCGTAGTTGATCCCCATGAAAGTTGTCAACAGCCCTTCCCATCTCGCGCTGGAGTCCACCTCCAAGGAGAAGAATCCTCTGTAACTCGTCTTCATCCACATTGTGATTACCTTCCTCATAACACTATCAGACATAAAAGTAGCTGCCCTCGTGCAATCACTCAGGAAAGCCGTTATCTTCTCTCTTTCCTTCGCCTTTGCCTACCTTTAGAAGGTTAGGCATCTCTCTCTCTCTCTCTCTCTCTCTTCAGTCTGACACATGGCGCAGACGCATGAAAGCTGTATATTTAAAAAATATAGGTAGAGGCAAGAATGAGGAAAGATCAGTTGGAGAAATCCTTTCTAGACTCTCCCTATTCCAAGCAATTTAGGTGAACAAGCACATCGTCCGACGAAAGGAGCTTCTAGGAGAAAGAGATAACAAGTCGTCATTAGCTAGGAAGCCGCCTTTGAGGTTTGAATTCATCCAGTAGGTAGTCATTCGATATTCGAAGATGTGGTCTCTGATTAGGAATTCGACGCTCTTAGTTACGGATCTGAACAGGAATCTGATATTGTTCCGTGTCAGTTTGATTTCCTCATGATGATTGAAACTTCTACCCGTCTTTTGAATTTCCGGTTCTCTTATCATTAGCTATTCCTTCCCCTCTATCACCCTGCAGATGCATATTTTTATATATCTCCAATAAAGGTATAGAGGTATATCAACGACACTTGGTAAGGTTAAGATTAAGATCCTCGCCTATCGGTGCCATCTTCACCTGGCAGAAAGAAAATCCAGCTCAATTCCTTTAATCGTTGTCTACTGTGCCTAAGAGAAAAGCTCGAGCTGTCTCTCTAACTGAACGCGTATTTTCTCGTCTGGTCTTCGACCTGATCAACTTAAACTCCGCTGCCGGAAGTCTAGACGGATAGCAAGGCTTGACGCTGGTGTATTCTCTTTTGGAAGTGGATAAACTGAGAAGAGATGACCGGCGGAGGGAATATGGACGATTCTTCCGTGTTGAGAAACTAGATATGAGACCGTATATCCCCGTCTTCCTCTCCATTTTCTCCTCCAGATTCTGCGTGTGCCGGCCTCAGCTGTTTGAATACAGTTGGACTGCGTGACGGAATTTTCCTTCCTCACCACCATCTCCTTGTGTGCTCTATGAGGTCCTCCGCCGGCGGGAGAGGAATCACTGCTCCATCATGGAGCACTTCTCCACGGGAGAACTGACCGCATGAAAGTGCATGCGGCGAAGCTATATATAGACGGACCATTAGCGTCTTGACCTAACCGGACGTTGGAACACTGAGCCAATCCTGTAGGAAGCGGGCATATTTGTGCAAACCTTCGGAGTAACAGGTAGCTTACTGACAGACGGGAGGGAAAACACAGAGGAGAGAAATAATGAACCACGATAACCCTTCGTTTTCGTAGTGAGATAAATTCAAATTCTTACCATTCCATGACATTAGGGGGTATTTAGTGGACTTGTGGATAACAAAACCTCCTAAACTGGTGGCCTTTGGAGTACGCAATTATCAAGATAAAATCATTTAAACCGGGATCGAGGGAATTAAGAGAAACTCAAAACTAGAGGTGTAAATCGTTGATACGACCAGCTTCTACTTGGAAAACTTCCTACGTTAGTTGCCTTTCAGTGGGCAATGCCATAGCCATCATACTCGCTATGTAGCAGGCTGAGGATCGGTAATTCCCCACATGGGTCTCAATCGATGCCGCATTTACACTTCCAAAGACGCCATTTTTATGTTGGACCTAGTGGAATCGATTCGTCGGTGCCCCGTAATCTCTCTCTCTTTCCAGCGGCCGGTTATTGTTAAAGAGGATCCCTTGGCTGACCTTCGCGCCGGTGGGCAGGTAGCAACTGATCATAAAACCTCCGACAAACGGGAAGTCAGACAGTTTGCGGCTGCACAGCCGCAAGATTTAGGTGTTCACACCGGGGGGAAACTATTCCCGTTACCAGCCTCCCTGCTTGTAGCTCCGCTTTCCCTCTCGTGATACACGGGGAGACAGATGTCGCGTCGGCTTTCTAATGAAGCCGTTTTAGCTTCGAGCCTGAGTTGCTCCGGCCGCTGAGCCATCCAGTCGAAGTTGGGACCGCCGCCGCGTTTTCAGATTTCAAGATCTCTCTCTCTCCTCCCCTCTTGCTAACTCGATGGGGGTGAAATCTGTGGTCCGGATTCGTCCACCGTCCCACGTGTAATAGTCAACGGACGGCGTTCTGCACGCGTTTCTGCCAGGAACTGCGGCACGTCAATTGTGAAGACAAAGTTAAAGTTATTTTCCTTATATATAACCCAAAGCTCGTCGGCTGTCATCGAACAATCGAAAGCCGCAGCAGAGAGAGAGAGAGAGAGAGAGAGAGAGAGAGAGGGCCCGAAAAGAGGCAGACGAGCACCTCTGAGAGCAGCAAATCGAGATTGTCGCTAAGGCGTGACGATGGAGGCGCTTCCTTCGGGAATGATGCGTTCGCGTGTGCTGGAGAGGGCGCCGCTGTTCCCTTCGTCGAACTCTTCGCAGTTCTTCTGCGGGGACGGTGGAAAGAGCATGATATTCTCCCCGGCGGGCTCTCCCACTACGAGGGGCAGCCGGGGGAAGTGGAGGGTCAGACATCGGGAGAGGAGGGGAACCGTGGTAGTGGCGGCCGCCATCAGCGAGAAGATATTGATATTGAGACCGGAGCTGAGTGGGGCTCCGGAGAGGAAGCTGCCGGTGCAGTCCAAGGTGCGCGTTTCGATGACGGTGAAGAGAATCAAGGGCGAGAACTGGAAGGAGACGATTCTGAATTATTTCATCTTCAACCCTTTGGAGGCCCTCGAGGATAGCCTTGGCCGAAACATTGTTTTGGAGCTCGTCAGCACAGATATCGATCCAAGTATGCCTCCCTCTCTCTCTCTCTCTCTCTCTCTCCCCCCCCATCCTTTCTCACTCTTCTCGGTTGAAAAAAAGAGCTCTGGCTCCTTTTTACTCTATATTTGGCCGTATCAATTCACCTTTCCCTACTAATCAATGAGTGCTTTCCCCTCGGGGAATCCCAGGAACGAAGCGCCCGAAGATGAGCCGGGAAGCGGTCATCAGAGGCTGGTCGGAGAAGATGAAGACCGGCGCAGACAGAGCCGTCCTCACGGCCGAGCTTACAGTCGACTCGAGCTTCGGGACGCCGGGGGCCATCTTGGTGACGAATCGCCACCACAGGGAGTTCTTCCTCGAGAACATCGTGGTGGAGGGCTTCTTCTCCGGGCCCGTCCACTTCAACTGCCACTCCTGGGTGCAATCCAGCTGGGAATACCCAGACAAGAGAGTCTTCTTCGGCGACAAGGTCAGCGATGTTCAAACCCCTGACCTTTCTACACTCCTCCCCCATCGTGAGGTAGAAAACTCGGGAATTGGACGCCTCTGGTTCATCGTGTCGTCACCTTCATCGTGTAGCCCTATCTTCCCTCGGAGACGCCGGCGGGGCTAAGGGAACTGCGGAATAAGGAGCTGGAGGCGCTCAGAGGGGACGGCCGAGGCGTACGGAAGCTCTCGGACCGGATGTACGACTACGACATCTACAATGACCTCGGCAACCCCGACAGGGGTCACGACTTCGCACGGCCACCGCTTGGTGGCGAGAAACTTCCCTATCCCCGGAGGTGCAGAACGGGACGCCAGTCGTCGGAGACAGGTGACCAACTGAGAACCGCATGTCCTCCTTCCTCCGCGCGATCAGCGCTAAAATATGGTCGTGTCTTCGGAGGTGGGCTGACTCCGGCCGTCTGACTATGGCTTGGTGCAGACTCGTCGGCGGAGAGCAGAGTGGAGGACCCGCTGCCGATGTATGTCCCCCGGGATGACGCCTTCGAGGAGGGTAGGATGGAGATGCTGGAGGAGGGGAATAGGAAGGCCATGCTTAGAGTGTTTGTGCCTGCCATCGTCGCGGGCTTCTCTGGCAGCGACTTCGGCGGGTTCCACCACGTCGACAGCCTCTACAAGGAGGGAATGCGGCTGAAGCGGGGCCTGAAGGAGGACATCCTCTACAAACTTCCCCTCATCGGCAAGATCCAGGAGGTCAGCGAGGGGCAGCTCCTCTTCGATACGCCCACTATCCTATCTAGTAAGCGCCCCGATGCCTTCGTTTTTTTCAGCGATGACCACCCACCCACAGTTCAAGCTGCGGTTGACCTGACCTCCGTGGTTCTCCCCTGTTTCCCCAGAGGACAAGTTTGCTTGGCTGCGAGACGACGAGTTCGCCCGGCAGGTGGTCGCCGGCATCAACCCCGTCAGCATCGAGAGGTTGGAGGCGTTCCCGCCAGTGAGCAAACTGGACCCCTCGGTCTACGGTCCAGCTGAATCGGCCATCAAGGAAGAGCACATCGTCGGCCACCTAGAGGGCATGTCCATCCAGCAGGTACGCCTCATATAACCTAATGGACTCGCCCTCTTTATCAGAACTTGGAACAGTCTACGATCATGGTCAACCAACGCTCACTTCTCTCTCTCTCTCTCTCTCTCTCTCTCTCTGTGTCTGTCACACACACAAACAGGCGTTGGAAGGGAAGAAGTTGTTCGTGTTGGACTACCATGACGTCTATCTGCCCTTCCTCGACCGGATTAACGCCCAGGACGGGCGAAAGTCGTACGCCACTCGCACCGTTTTCTTCCTCACGGCTCTGGGCACCCTCAAGCCCATCGCCATCGAGCTCCGTCTGCCTCCCGGGAGCTCCTCCAGTCGCTCCCGGCGGGTCATGACGCCTCCCACGGACGCCACCACAACTTGGCTCTGGCAGCTGGCCAAGGCCCACGTTTGCTCGAACGACGCCGGAGTGCATCAGCTCATCAACCACTGGCTCCGCACGCACGCCAGCATAGAGCCTTTCATCCTCGCCGCCAACCGCCAGCTGAGCGCCATGCACCCCATCTTCAAGCTCCTCCAGCCCCACATGCGGTACACCCTCGAGACCAACGCCCTCGCTCGCCAGATCCTCATCAACGCCGGGGGAGTCATCGAATCCTTCTTCACCCCCGGACCCATCTCCATGGAGATGAGCTCCGCCGCCTACGCCGGCTCCTGGCGCTTCGACCTGGAAGGGCTCCCGGCAGACCTCATCCGCAGGGGGATGGCAGAGCCCGATCCCACACAGCCTCACGGCCTCCGTCTCGCCATCGAGGACTATCCCTACGCCAACGATGGCCTGCTCATCTGGGACGCTATCAGGAACTGGGTCAGCAGGTACGTGGAGGCGCATTATCCCACCGCGAACCATGTCGCCTCCGACGAGGAGCTTCAGGCCTGGTACGCCGAGACCGTCCAGGTGGGGCACGCTGACGTCTCAAATGCCCCCTGGTGGCCGCGGCTGGATACGCCGGAAGACCTCGTCGGCGTGCTCACTACGCTGGTGTGGCTGGCTTCGGCTCAGCACGCAGCGCTCAACTTCGGGCAGTACCCACTGGGGGGCTACATCCCCAATCGGCCGCCACTGATGAGGCGGCTGATCCCAGAGGAGGGCGATCCCGAGTACCAGAACTTCCTCGCTGACCCGCAGCGCTACTTCCTCGCGTCCCTTCCAACGTTGATGCAGACGACCATGTTCATGACGGTCATCGACACCCTGTCCACCCACTCGTCGGACGAGGAGTACCTCGGGGAGCGGCGGCTGCAGTCCTACACCTGGTCCCCCGCAGTGGCGGAGGCGTTCAACGAGTTTGCCGCCGAGGTAAGGCAGATCGAGGAGGAGATCAGCCGACGGAACACCGACTCTCGGCTAAGGAACCGGTCGGGTGCCGGCGTCCTGCCCTACGACCTCCTCATACCGAGCTCCGGTCCCGGCGCGACCGGCCGGGGGGTGCCCAACAGCGTCTCCATTTGACGGTAATGAAGCCATACAGAACTCTAACATGACAGCCTGAGGTTGTCGAGACGCATTGGTGGATGTGTATCAATGAGAGTGTGGTCAATAACGAGGCCATTCCTCACATGTACGTAATCACACACTGTAACTATGGTCTTTTAAAGGAATACAGCGTTGTGTAATTATCAGATTCCTATTGGCACAACCTTCGTCTCCTCCGTGGTGGCTCGACAACGGCGACACATCATCTAGTATGAGGTGAACTGCCAAGATAGGTTTCTCTGAAACTATCTACATAGATGATCCTTCATAACCGATCTAGCGATCGAAGGAAATAGCTGGCCAAAAGCCTGGCCATCTCACTTTCAGAGCGTAGGAAACTTGAACCATGTTCCACGTATCGGGCATCCAGGTCCAGATTGGGGGATATCAGTGGAATATCCAATCGTTTTCCCGATTTAATCCGTTGACCGTCTTTCCTCCGTCCTTGAGCGTATAGTGAGGGCAGCGGGTAACCGTCTGTCGCTGCGGTCTCTTCCATTCCGGCGCCGACTCTTCCTCGGGGTGATTGGGACCTCAGCGGTGGTGGGGCGTCTCTCCTGCTCCTACGGCGGCTGGTGACAGCAACTAGGGCGTTGACGCCTCACCTTCCCAGCCGCAGGACCGGCGGCTGTGGGTGGTCCCTCGTTTTCTTCGGTGGGACAGGTGACCTCTCACTACATTCCTTCCCTTCCTCTTCCGCCATTACTGTTGCTGCCTCTGCTGATATGTGGATGGAGAAGGGTGGAGGCTTCTTCTTGTCCCAGCAGACGGGATAGAAGGTTGGTTCGAACTTCTCTACCTTAGTCACCAGAATGCCGATCCCGGAGCAGAAGACATATTACTAGCTTTTAACCGTTGGACATGATGGGTGGGGACTCCAGCGACTACTGCACCGCCTTCCAAATAGTAACGGGCACGAATGGCCTTATATGGATTTTATATCCAATAGCACATTCATTTTTTTTTGTGTATTTTGTACTTCTAGTCATGTCCAAGATCTTGTCGTTAATGTGTCTAATAACATGACACAATGACAATGGACTAATTTGGCCATATTTCGACAAGGTCTAGGATCATTTGGACACTTGTCAACTTTGTATCTAGCCTTTGATTTCAACATATGTTAACCATTTAAATAGCATATTATTCAACATATTTCCTTGTAGTAGTCCAATCCATTTTGAATGTGCTAATCGATCTAATATGGCCACTGTTCCTGATGCTTTGGCCTTACAATAATAGGTCCAAATGACCTTTTGCACATTGCTACGTTTTGATGATTTTATTGACCTTGTATAAATTGTTCAGTGGTAAAATCAATTATTAATGGGCATCATCATGTGTCCAGCAATTCAATGAATAAAAATAGGCTCATCTGACTTTAGATGTATAGGGGACCATTTGACATCGTTGGGATCTAGACCCCAATGATCCAAACGAGTGGGAATGTGTCCAATAAGACTTTTCAATGGCCACTTCCACTATACTTCAAAGTGTACTTCATAGAATAGATTTTAAAGCTGATTGCATTTCAAAACTTTACAAGGAGATTTATTGCATAGAATTGTGGAAAAGGTCTTATTTAAGTATCCTGAAATGGGGTTCATCCCATATACTCATGAGCTCCATCTTATAAATTTTAACATGCTATATCTTATACCTTTAAGAAATAGTCTTCACAAAGAGTTGTCAAATAAGTTTGATCTGATATGCTTTGTTTGAATGCTTCATTCCAAGTACTTGCTCCATTACACAGATTTCGAAATAAACTTCACCTCATTAGTGATGTAATAAGCTTTATGTCATAGATCCTCAAATTAGTTTCATAGCATATTATATGATGGACTTCATCTCATAGATAATAATGAGTTACATTCATAAATTTTATATCACATCATCTCAATTTTTTTTCAAATAATCTTCATTCCGTTAACCCAACAGAAACAATTTCAATAAGTTGTTAAATGGGATCCAACACAACTCCACAATTAACTTCATCTTATAAATTCATCAAATGTGTTGTATCTTGTGATTATCAAGTGCCAATTCATATATTGATAATTAAATTTATGGATAAGTCACTCAAACTGAAGATTCTTAATAGCTCAATATATGATGAAAACTTAAGAAATATCTAGGTTAAATTACCAGTCAATATGTTGCAGATGATAAGGACTAAAAGTTTAATTGACTTAAATTTAATATCAATACTTTATTAATTTATTAATCATAAACTAAATATTTTATTTTCTAGACTTTGGAAAGTTTAATTTTCCAAATATGATTAGAAGTTTAAACATTGCTTTACGTTGGTCAATTTACTATGCTTATCACACTTGTTGCAATCTTAGCTCTAAATTAAACACTGAATTTTTGAATGATTTAAAAAATTGCAGATTAAATATTTGATTTTCAAGATTTTAGAAAGTTTATTTTCACAAAAAGAATTAGAATATGAGACCTATTATCACCAATACAATTAGAAAATCGACCTATTACAAGAAAATCGGCATATTTTCACTAAAAATAACATAAATGATTATTGACATGATGTCCCAATTATTGTAGTATCAGTAATTTAGTACTTGATAATTGAATTATATGATAGTATCATGCTCCAAAAGTTAAGTGAAATCTAACATGATCATTTTAACAATATTTATATGTAAATTCTTGTTAAATATATAGGCATGCACTCACTCAATGGAATTATCCTTGGAAACTTCACTATACCCAAAAAGTTGAAGAGTTCAAATTGATATGGATTTTACAGTATCATATTTTTCTTGAGACATTTTAGGAGTTGATGACAATTAAGAATTCAAATGCTAGTCGTTATTAGGAAACAATCTTTTTTTCCCCACAACATCCTTGTAAATGAGCATTTGAGGCCAAAAAATGAATGTCATATATAGCATTTTGTCCCTAAACTCAAAAGAGAGGAAATGGAGTGCTGCCATAATCCATCTACTTTTTTATCCATCCACAAGAACCTACACACTTGAGGAAAGCTTGGAAGGAGAAGAATTGTTACCGACCAAAAAGAAATCAGTCACAAGATTTAGAGCTACCAAAGCTATCAAAAGATTCCAATTGATTGAACACACAAAAATCCTTGATGGATCTACATTAAGGCAGCCATTGAAGTGAATTAAAGAAGTAACATCATAAGCTTGTCTTTACTATTTATGTGCTACATCTTATGGTGGCATTGTGAGCTAAAAAACCCCAATGCATTTTGCACTAAGGTTTGACAACATTTTGAGCTTTTAGTGGAGCTAAAGCTACAAAGTTAGTAAAAGAAGATGAATGATTACCAAAGTTACCAAAACTATCATCAAATCTTATTTCTTATGCTTGAGCCTGAGTGATTTCTCAAAAACAATCTTATAGCTAGTTATATGAGAACTAGAGTTGTATGATATCTATGGCATCCATCTGGTTGCTATAGATTTTTGAGTATTTACTGATAGTTTTGTAGATTAGTGGAGTCCAAAGAAGCACAAGTAATTGGGACAATGGATGTTGGTTAGGGATTCAGCCACCCTAAATGTGTCACCTATATCCTTTTTCTTGGGTCCCTACTTATATTAATCACTTATTTTTAGATTGATAAATTAAAATATTTAATTTGACACTTAATTTGATTACCTTATTTAATGATATATACAATGGTTTGAACACTCATTGATTTATGTGTGCTTGTTTTAATTCCACTACATTGTTGAACATAGATTAAAAGCATCCCACATTAGTTAAACTTTGTTGAATTAGAAAGTATAATCAAGTTTCTACTTTTCTTTTTTGACCGTAGGTATTTGGGTAATGATGATGTATCATCAAGTTTCTTCTTTAATTTTTTAATTTTCTCTATGAGATATTTGTTCCCCTTTTCTAGTGTTTAAGTGAAAATGACATCATTTTTGTTCTTATTTTCTAATGAGCTATTTGATTATCTAAATGTAAGATTCTCTTTTTTAAGGCTTTAATTTTAAGTCTAATATCTTCGAATGGATTCACCAATTCATCTAAATCATCTTTGAGTTGACTATATCTGAGAGACTTGTCAAAGTTGTATACCTTCTGAGGTCCTTGCTATTAAGCATGTCCTTCTTTGTCTCAAGTTCTTCATTTGTGCTGTAATTCCTATCACTCTAAGCTGCTACTATTATTTATTTATTTTTACTTGGATTTTTTTTCTTGAGTAGTAAGTAGTGGCTTTGACACATCTTGATTTCTTACAATAAAAAATATAAGATGTTAGAAGTTTTAGGGAGTTAAATGATACTTTTTTTGTGTGGAAAGTTATTTTTTTCCCACATTTTGGTTAGTTGTCTACATAGGAGAGCAATCTCTTCTTCCTTAACAAATACTTCTTATGTTTTTCTAGTTATCTTTATGTTTCTTTTTCTTGTGAGAGCTATGTTTCAAGTAACATATTTTTCATGGGTTAGTAGCGACCCAATAATTTCATCTAAGGAGATAACATTAATATTCTTAAATTCTAAGATTGTAGTTTTTTCAGCCATCAGTAATAAATAGCATATGGTTTACATCCACTTTGGAAAAGATTTTTCTAAAATTCAGATTTCATTAATGATTTCATCATACCTCCTGACAAGATCATTGATGGATTCTCCTTCATGTAGAGTGATTCATACATTTTATCACTAGGATGTTGATCTTAGTTTCTTTTACCTAAGACATACCTTTATATGTTACCTCTAATTTGTCCCATATTTCTTTTCTTATTTCACAACTAAACATAGTTAAATTCAAAAATATTGATGATAATAAGTAGAATATTCAAAGCTCTCTCATTTAATGTTGATATTTGTATTCAATAGGTATCATTCAGGACTTTTTGTTGACCATCTCTAATCATTTTCTATACCTTCAATCTCGACTTGTAACATATATTTTGACTCTAGTTTGTTAGAATGGCTAGTTTGTCTCATCAAACATACGTGGTCTTAAGTTTAGGGATTCAATTATTTCATTAATCATAGGATATATTTCTTAAGATGTATTAGGATCTACTAATAAAGTTTGACTCTAATACTAATTATGGGGTGTGGTGTGACTAAGTGAAGTACTAAGAGAGGGGGGGAGATAGTTAATTTTTTATATGTATTGATACACATTTTAACTCAATTTATGAAGTATATATGTGACTTAACCTATGATTCTTATCTAAGTTATGCAAACACTTTGGTTTCTTTCTCTCTTAACCCCAATGATGGTTGAAGAGATTTTATATTAGTTCACCCTTCGTTAGGCTACTTCAGTACCAAAGGATCCCTCTAATTTTTTTTAATAGAATACAATTAATTTCATATGTTCAGCTCTTCCACACAATTGTTTGATCTCTACAGATATCTTACCCCTCATGAACAGGTCTTAAATCACAACAACAGATGCTTAAGTCATGATATAGTTCTCCTTAAAAGACAACACTCTTCATGTGTAGAATTTGACTCTTAACACTTTATGCATTAGCCTTATCTTTTCTCCACTTGCCACTCAAGTTACCATGAGACATGATGGAGAAAGACAACCTTCAATGTAGTTGATTGATTTGTATATTACTGTAGATGATAAAGTAAGATAAAGTTTTGATTCCTTTTTTAAAACTTGTACCTAGTAGGAGATTGTGTATGATTTCTTATCTTATTTACATGAGTGATGTTGATAAAGATTTCTTTATTAAATATTAACTTTATTTTTTCTCAAGTATGTTTACTTATACTCCAATAGATTCATTTCACTTTAACATCTAAAAAAGATCATATAAATTTAAATATTTTTTTGATGCTTTGTCAATAGTCTAGTGACCTTTAGCTACTTTTTGTTTTTAAATTGTATACTTTGATGATAGTTATTCGTGATATCTTCTTTAGAGATTCCTATTTCATCTATAAACATTTCTTGTTCTAATCTCTCACTTAGAGGAGATTGTTTAGCTTATCTTTAGTCCATGATTTCTATTGAAGAGTTACCATCCAAAATCTAAGCTTTTGATATTTGGTCATACTTCTACCTAGATGTTCCTACTTGTAGTTATATGTCCTTGATATTGTGTTTGGAGATACTTAACTTATCAACATAAATACTTGTCTTTAGGTTTAAGTTAGGATTTTAGCATTGAGACTATCATCTAGTCCATGTATTATGATGACATATTATTATCTAGAGTGTGAGAGGTTGACTTTGAGTCTTCATTTATTTCAAAACTCACATGTCTCTCTTATGTGGTCTTTAAAACTTTAATCTGAAGATACATACAACTTCAATGATTAATCTTTCACTTTGTACCAAGTTGAAGCTTAGTTATTACCATTTTGTCATTTTCTCCATATAAGATTCTAATGTGTCACTATTTAAGTTACGTGATGATAATTTCTCTATCTCCTTTCACATGAATAGTTTAACTTAGTTGTCTTGTGAGTTTTTCGTTTAAGTCTTATTGTAGTCACTAATCATATATTTTGTATTAAATATCTTAATTAACTTTTCAAATTTTCGCCCATGTCACTTTTCTTACTTTCATGTAGCTTACTTCCTGAATTCAAATCTCATGTTTGTCATAATATATTTTTGATATTTCAAACATTTCTTGCATTGACACTTCATTCTTAATATTGCTCAAGTGTTGCATTTGAATTTTTCTTGTGACTTTCATTTGCTAAAATATACATCATGCTACATCACATGTTTCAACACTTATTACGTACTTTATATTTAGAGAATATTACAATACATTACTTTAACACAAAAGAATACCTCAAAAGAATGACTCATTAAAATTATTATTAGTCATATTATTGTGTAGGGCATCATCAATATGTATGATTTAAATGTTTGTCAATTATATTTATCTCTTGATGAGAATAATCATTATGCGCATATATAAATTATAATTCAACTCATTTAAGAATAATTCATAAATAAATTTTCTATTGTATGTGTCAAAACACACTACATGTGTCAAAATAATATAAATTATTTGATTCTTTTGCGTAATGCTCTTAGTTGTTTGTACCAAGTTGAGTCACTTGAGCTATATTCTCTTGTTTACTATATAAATTTGTTTTTATATTAATTGGTTAGAAAAAGAGAATCAATTCACCCATCATTTTTAGTTCTATTGTGGCTTCTCAAAAGTCAATATCTCTAAGCCTAATTCTAGTGTGATTGTGCATCACAATTATTACATATAATTAAGTTTTTGTATTACTTGTACTTATATATGCCATTTGATGATGCACAAATTAATATGCTTACACATGCATGTACATGTGTCACTTCATGCCCATGTTAAGATCTTTTTGTGTATAACATTATTGGTATATGCTAGGCCTGTCACACTCTTTCACATAATAAACAATGTAACCCAAATAATCCCAAAAAATCAACCTAATTCAAGTGGACTAGAAGCCCATGATACATGAGGACACAACTCAGCCAAAATGTTATTATAGATGACCCTAGCAATAAATTTATACACATTAAATATGTCCAAATTTTAATGACCACATTTATTATTTTTCATGTATTTTTTATTTAAAACAATCCCTTATTCTATTATAGGAATTCTTATTCCTTAGAGTAATTCCACAATCTCTCTTTTACTTAGGGCATTTTAATAGAACCCCCTACTTTCTAGGTTAGTTATAGCTAGATTTTGGCCTATAAAAAGGACTCATTTGTTGCCCCAGAGCCAATTCAAATTTTCATCAATCTATTTGTGACTTACCTTCCTCTCTAGATGTTCTCTATATCTACTAGTAGATTTCAGCATTCCTATAGACTCACTAAACTATTTTTGATCTTATAGACTCAAGATCAACCCCTTGTAGACTCGAGGGATGAAATCCATGTTTTGTGGAGTCAAGATAAGAAATTTTCAAAATGATTATATTCTTTGTGAACTTAATGTCGTGGTTTTACTTTTAGAATATTTGACACGTCAATTCGCTTAAATCATCATCCAATCAATAGTTTTGATGAGTCAATGATTCAAATGTCATTATTGTAGGACATAACACTTATCATAAGCCTAAGTTGATGTCCTATCATTATTTATTGGTTTTAAGCAAGTTATCAGAAAAATTAAGTGAGGGGGTGTATTGATCTTTTTTTATTCTTATATAATTTCAAACATTTTGAAGTTACTAGAGCTAAGAATTATTTAATTTGGCACATTGAACCTACCCCACTTTCTAAGGACTACATTGTTAAGTTCTATTAAGACATATTGAAACATACATTGAATTAACCTGCACTAAACATTTCTATTAGATTCATGACTTTAGAGGGTCAAACCCATTAGTGCGCACCTAATCTCATCTAAACCTAATACCTCTAGGTCTGCACATTATATGGACTACTCAAATCAAGAATTAAAAAGTAAATATTCTTTCTATTTTTGGTATCACCTCCCTACTTACTAATTTCTACACAAAATTCAGCCCTAGATTCATAATTATAGAGTGCTTAATTATAATTACAACACTCTACTCATTCATACCATCAACATAGGATACAAATATTATATGATATAATAGTGTGCATCTTTCATGTTTCTTTTAGGGTTGATTCCTTTGATTTAGCATTGAGGAAGTTTCATCTTTGAAGAGATTTTGATTGTTTTGAGCAACAACGTGCAGGCTTAATTTCAAACTACTATTTTTTTTTTTTTATTGTGAGAGGTCTAACTATGAGATTCTTCTTCTTGCACTAGATTGTGTGATCTCTAACTAATTTTGTCTTCCTCTTTATTACTTCTTCTTCTTCTTCTTGAAACTTGGCTCTCTTGATACCTAATTACAGAAGCTTTGATATAGTGTAGACCTTCAAGGACTTGAGTAGCAACATATTTTCTCCCATTTCAATTATAAATTTGTCTCTAAGGAGGAAGAGAGTGTGGAGGCTTGTTTTTTGTGGTATCCTCATATCCTTCCCTTCAGGGAGAACCTCCTCTTCTATGCTTCTCTTAATGGGCCACCTAGTAGCTAGTTTTCAATGGGTGAGAATGGTCAAAGTTTGATCAAACTTGCACTAGATTGCCCAATGTCAACTCTTTTTCCTCAATTCAATACATTTTAAATAAAACCTTAATTATGATCAATGATATAAAATTTTCAACTCATTCAATTCTTGCATGTTCGAATGATATTCATTCAAACATAGTCCTTATGATATTCAAACATTTAGTTTTTGCCACACATCCTTAATTCCTTGTAAAACTGAATGTCTCCTAAAGGAATCTTTGTTAAAAACATCAAATAACTGATTTTTGTACTAATAAATTTTGATTCCCTGTCTAATTTGTCCACATGATATCATATGAAATGATGTTTGACATCCATATGTTTGACATCAAATATATGCTCTAGCAAAATATTATGTGCATTGTCTTGAAATATATGCCACCCAATTATCTGCATCTTTAATTCAAACCAAAGGATAAATCTTTAGTAGCTCATTGACAAACATTACCTATGGGAACGAAGTTGGTAACCCTTTTACCTCAAGATTATATGAAAACAAATCTAAAGAAGGTCGATACGTATAATTATGAATTCATTTTTTTATAATTTACATCAAATGATCTGAAAATTTTGAAGGAGGAAAAATACAAAGGAAATTAGAAAAAAGGGGAATAATTCTTGGAAGGGGAGGGGGGTGGTTTTTGGTGCCCCTGCAGAAGACGATCGATCCTCTGAATCTGGTGACTTGCCTCAGAAGGTGGCCATTAGCTTCCTTTCCAGCACGTCGGAGCAGGTCTGACCCATCATATGGTAGAACGAAAGAAGCTCGGACAGCTGCTCAATCGACATCTTCGCCATAACCTTCCTCGCCAACTTCTCCCTCTCCTCGTTCACCTTCAGTTTCTGTGCGTAGGAGGACGCGTTCCTCACCGTAGCCCCCATCTGCTTCAGCCTGGTCTCCTGCTGCGAGCTCAGCGCCGTGTTGGACTGCAACACGGCAGGGGACGTCATTCGAGATGGATCCCGGGCGGCCTCAGGTCTAGATTCATTCTGCTTCGAATTATCAAGATTATCGGAATATGGTCCAGTTACTTGTATTTACCTCCAGGAATTCGGCTCCGACTTCCAGTTCGTGTTCCTCGGAGGAGACTGTCCCCCTCGAGGCGTACAGGTCTCTCGCCTTGGAGAAGCTCCGGACTATGATCTTCCTCTTCTTCTCCATCTCCCCGTCCATCTTGGAAACCAGGACGGTCGCCGCAATTGAGCCGCTCACCTTCCTCTGATAGGCGATCACCGCCTTCACGAACGCCTGCAATCCACGGAAACCAGGGGACTCGGTTATTCCGGCGGTTGATTCGGGCCAGCGGGCAATGGTGTCGGATTCGGAGATCTTGAGATCTGGGGGTCACCTGGTAGGCAGCGGGGCAGCCGGGATAATCGAACTCGTCCGTAACCGAGTGCCTCATCCTCTCGGGATGGAACTGCAATCCCATTATGAATTTGCCCTCTTCCGGATTGTAGGCGTCGGGATCGTAGAACCCTTCGACCAGTCCGTCGGGGGCGAAAGCCATGGGAACGAAGCGCTCGGCCAGCCTCTTCACGCCCTGGTGGTGGTAGCTGTTCACCATGAGCTCCATTCCCTGGTCAGGCTTGAGCGACTCGTCGAACCAGGAGTGCAGCGGGGTGTTCTCGATGACCCTTACGGGGTGCCGGTGGCCGTCGTAGTTGTCATAGTCGATGTGAGCCACGGCCTCTTTACCGTCCTTGGAGAGCTCCTTCCCGATGTCCTGGTAGAGCGTGCCGCCGCAGGCCACGTTGAGGACCTGCGACCCCCGGCAGATGCCGAGGTAGGGGATGTTGCGCTCGAGGCAGAGCTTAGCGAGGCGGAGCTCGATGGAGTCCTTCTCGCGGTCGATGGAGGTGTCGCTGGCGTGAAGCCGGCGGATCTCGTCCAGCTCCTCCGCCGAGAGGCCCGAGATGTCGGCCTGGTAGTGGGAGGGGTCGATGTCCTCCCCCTCGCAGAGGAGCACCCCGTGGATCGGCTCAAAGCTGTCCAGCATCATGTGCACGCCGGAGACGCGCGGGACGATCACCGGCACCGCCCCGTAGCTCACGATCAGATCGAGATGGTACTCCCCTGCAGGCATTAAACGAATTTTAGCCGCGAATTCCCCTCTCGAGTGGAGGGAGGGATAATAAATCGGGTGGGTAGAGCTGCTTGCTCACCGACGAAGTCAACGAACTTGTTCTTGCGGACGCTCCGTCTGGAGACGATGAGAACCCTCGGGAGGATCTTCCCCAGTTCGGACGTCATGGTGGCGACGACGACGACGACGACCCGATTGAAATAACCCTAGTATCCACTCCCTTCGCTTGCTCCGCTCCTCTCCTCCGCTTCTACACCTGCGGTACAGCTGTTCTGCGCATTCCTCGCGAAAATCTGCCCATTTATAGACAAAGGGGGTAACCGAGGCCTCTTCTTTTTCCGACGTCCGACGTCCTCCAGCAGCCGCGTCCCACAGAGTCTCCGCCGACGACGGAGATGACGTCAGTGACGGTCTCGGTCGTCCCAACGCGCGGCCGCGTCTCGAGGACCTCCGCCGCTTGTCTTCCTCATTAGTTCTACCGCCCGCAAACGTGGATCAATCCCAGCCACACGTACATTCGAGTAGGCGCCCGATACGATCACGAGATTTGCCCTTGTTGCAATAAAAGAAGATTAATATCAGATGAGGACGAGGTCCGTGGAGGCCGGCGGAAGGGGGTGGAGGAGCCGATGTTCTTGCCACGTGATCAGTCTCCAGTCATGGGTAGCACCAGTCAAATCCGGCCGCTTGTCTCCGTAAAGGATTACGTGTATTGCCAAGTGGCGCCACCAGAGCCCCTCGTTGAAAACGTGGTGCGGAGTCCGTGACTGCTGCTTCGACGGCTGCCGTGGCTCCGGGGCCCATGGTCGAACAGAAAAAAGTAAGTTAATAAATACTTAATTAAACTTAATTGGTACAGACGCCAAAGTGGATCCAGCTATTTTGACCAGGCCAATGGATGAGGTCAAAATAATAATAATAATAATAATAATAATAATAATAATAATATATTTTGGCACGGCCATCAGCAGTAGGATGGGAGCTTTATAATTGACCTCCGAGCTGGTTATCTTATCGGATATCGCGGATGGGCCCGTGAGGAGTCCGTGCAGCGCTGGCGAGAGTTGTCCCATGTTTGACTTCTCTCGAGCATATCCTGTCCGAAGATCCCGTTCCTGCCCTAATCAGCTGCGAGCGAGTGATCGAGAGAGAGAGAGAGCGAGAGATGGAGCCGAAACAAATGATTTGGATTTTATAATGCCGACTACAAGCACACAAGCGAACGTTAGGTGTAGGTGACAGCGCCAAGGCGGCCTCCGCATGTCCATAATGGGGAGGTTGACCTTTACACAGGACAATAGACAGTTGAGGTGGGGCTTTCCCAGCCCTGTTCGTTCTAGGCCACAAGCTATTGATTAGGCCATAATTCGCTTTAACCCAAAAAGGGGTCCAGAATAATACTACTCTAAGTTATGCGTCAAGCTGAGTGTCGGCAATGAACTATTTTATTATTCTAGTAAAAGAATATTCCGCCATTGCTCATTATCGCCTGAAAGATCAGAGGGTAGTTATATTCATCATTAAAAATATCAATGAATGAAGTAAATTGTCCTTTCATAGTGTAAGTATTTAGTTTAACTAAAGCTGGAGTATGGTTTAATATACTAGGAAGATCATAATAGAGTTTGGTAGTTTTTAAATTCTTCTCGTATTAGTTTGAGTAAATGTGATGCATTCTTAGAATTTACTTTAATAGGAATATTATCTAAATGCCAACAAAAACACAATCCAGATGACGAATATGAGAAAGAAAAGGTGACTAGGGTTAGTTGATCTCCTTCACAAGCTAAGTCAGATTCAACACGTGATTTAATTGCACATGATGCACTACAAAACGGATCAATGTTTATAACTTGAAACTTGTTTAAATTCAAATGATAATTATCTTTTTGAAGGTTTATCATCATCATCGTCATCATCATCATCATCATCCCCTGGAGGATATAAAAGGGTTTCAATACCTTAATACATTTGCTTTGAAGAACCTATTGGTTTTTAGGGATTTAAAAATTTTCATTAAACCTTCAATTATCTACTGAAATCTATTCCCTATTTATTTCAAGAGTTGTTATCTTATTATTAACCTCCTCTAGAGGGCAACGGTATCAACATATGCCTTTGGCCTTTCAAAATAAATTTATGAGAAATCCCTAATCATGAATGGTTCTTCATTTATTACGTGCATCAGCATGGAGGATATGTCCTGGTCAATTATTGCCGAAGAAGGCACATGAAAATAAATCATAATCAATTATGTAAATTACAATATCCTCTCTTTTATTACATATATTTGGCACAAGACATACTTTTATGGGACACCCTTTTGGTTTCTTAAATATTTTTTACTAGATTTAATCAAATATGTGCCTCAAATTAGCCAGTCAGTTTCTTTGCTGGTTTGCACTCAAAAATTTATCTAATACGTCACATATTTTTAAAAAATATATAATTAGCCTTATAATATTTTTACCATAGGTACTTGTCATGTTTATTAATAATAATCCTTGATTGATTACCATTTAAATACATTAACACTTTTACCACGATAACACATTATTTCGAGCTTTAAACTTTATATAATTTATTAAACTTCCTAAGGTAAGGTATACATTATTTGTCTATGATGTAAATATATGGTATTTTAGTTGCAGGTTTAGAAATAACTTAATTTTTTTTGTATACTAGCGTGAGGAGTCGGTTGTGTGGCGGCATCGAATCGATTTCTCTCTTCAATTTGGCCGTACGAGGGCTTTAGATTTGGCCCATTAAGGTTCTCTGTAAACTAGCGTCTTGGTAAGTATCATTTCGGCACTATCAATTATTGGGCTTCAGTTTCGACCCATGAGACAGACGACCCAACGAAAGTGGGCCGCAGCCATACCGGGCTCAGATTTCAAATAAAAAAGCCCGAGCCCGCCCAGCCAGGCCCGAAATCAGTCCCTCCAGTTTCTTTTTCCGTCCGTTTCCGCTCCCCTGCCTCGCGCTCCCTCTCCACTCGGCTTCTCGTTAGGGTTTTCATCCGGCAGCGGCCCTGCTGCATTCGTCGAACGGGAAGGATTCTTCCGGTACCCGCGTGAGCGGGTTTCCACGTTGATTTGGTGTTGGCTGCTTCGGAGGAGGGAGGTCAGGGGGAGAGATGGTAGCGGGGTCGAGGGCCGACGGTGCCGTGCAGCAGTACAAGCTCTCTTCGAAGATCCAGGCGACCATCAATTCCATCAGGGAGATCGTGGGGGCGCACTCGGACGCCGAGATACTGGCTGTGCTTCGGGAGACCAATATGGACCCCAACGAGACCGCTCAGAAGTTGCTCTACCAAGGTTTGTTGCACTCGCCCCACTTTATCGAGGTCTTCTCCGTGCTTTTCACTCGTTAGAAAATGTCTGCGCGTGGGATTCTATAGAAGTTGATTATTTGACTTTTGCTCCTTTGTCTGAGTAGCTGGTAGCGTGTGCTACGTTCCGACGCTGTCAGTGCCAGTGGGTTAGGAATACTCTGTGAAGTGTTCTGTAATATGGTGTCGGTACAGAAGGGTAATCAACAGGAACACTTAATTTAAGGCTACTCTATTATCACAAATGCACGCGTACCGCACGGAATTAGAATTCGGATTGATAATCACTCAAATTTCTTTTCCGTTTATATGTTAAACTAGAAATTTCCCCCCCACAGCGGGTTGGTATCCGTGTACTACTGTAATACATATAGAATGTTCCACATTCTCTAGTACTTTCAGCCTGGTTACTTCCACATTGTCTTCTTGTCATGCATCGTGAGTGAACATGAAGTGAAATGGACGAAGCAAAGATGTCTGCGGTCTGTTTACAACATAAATATATTTTATTCCATCAGATATGACTGCGCAATACGATTTTTTCGCTTTTATTAAATTTGGTTTTGGATTACCTTGAAGTTTACTCTTTTTCACTATCTCCATTGTTCGATTCAATCCCTGGGTGTGCAATCCAATATGAGATGAAGATTGGGGGGACTTTAACTCTCATGATAAATGTGGAGTTTTTGTTAATTATTTTTTTCTGCGAGAAAAATTATGCAAAACATAGATGACGTCTTTTTTGATGGCTCAATGTACATATTTTTTTCTGGTCAAAATACGTTTGATTTAGTCTCAACTTTTCATATGTTTCATTTCATCTATTGCAGACCCATTTCATGAAGTAAAGAGGAGAAGGGACAAGAAGAAAGAGGTTTTTCCTAACTAGAAGAAAATATTTCGATTTACATTTATGTTCAGGTGTTTTTCATGGAAAATTTATTGTCCATAAATGTCTTCATTTATTATTTGTGATCATAGCTTCATTGTCGCACAAGTTCTCTTATTACCACACTTTGTTTGTGTGCGTAAGGCCTTTTTCCTGACTCATGGAATCCTCCCTCCAAAATATTAAATTACTTTCCAAAAAGAATATGTTACGAATTTGAGAATCGCCTGTTAAATGAAGAAGCAGTCTTGGTTAATTGGCCCATCTGATTCGTTTCAAACAGAAATTCTAAGACCATTGTAGGAGGCTGGTTGCTGTTATGAAATCTAAATGTTCTCTTATAAAGAAAACTACCTTGGTGAAAATATTGTGTAAAATCATGCTTTTTCCCCCCCTCCAAGGTCGCTTTTAGGCTAGTCAAGATAAAGGGGAAAGGAAAATTTCTTGATAGCGAGTTTTGGTATTATTCAGATCAGCCAGATCAGTACTGAGGGCAGCTTTGAAACGTAAAATCCGATTTAGACTTTATGGACATGGGTTTGAGCTTTACTGGCTTTTACCGGACAATCCTTGGATATATCATCTTTACTGTTATTAATATAATAGGCTTCACGCTTGCATGATTTGGTCCAATTTGTCCCTGCATGGTACGAAGTCTTTCCTTCATCACTGCTGTGGAGCTTTGAGGTTGAAGTTCGTTGTGGCATTATCTAACTATTTCTTATTCTAGTTACAATACCATGACGAGCTGCATGTTTGTTCACTTTTTGATTTGATGGATATGCTTTAATGTGACATGTCAATGTTGCTCCCTTTAATGGGAACCATTTCTAATGTTTCTTCATCATCACCCCAGAATACAGGCTTCAAGGGTTCTGTGGAACCTAAAGTTCATGCAGATTATCCAGTGCAGTGGGCAAAAACTCATACACCAGTTGATCGAAGTCATCGAATGGGAAGTTTTGCAAGAAATCAATCACCTGGTAATACACTATAATAAAGTTATCAATTCTTCTTTGTTGTATTTTCTCCTAGTTTAATGAAAGTGTTTTCTTTCAGATGCTCAGTCTCTTCCAATGTTGATTCTCGTCATTATTTAATTGGGCATGATTTTTCCTGCATTTATTTCTCTTCACATATTGATGCCTTATTCATGGTAGTAATTGCATTTAGGTAGGGAAGTACTTGATTGTAGTACTTTCGGGAATAATGTTAAGGAAGGATGCTGCACTTTGATTATTTGCAAGCATGTACTTCGTGTTTCTTTCCATACTTGATAAGTTCGCATGCATGTTTTAGATATTTACTCCCTTACTAGGGCTCAATACCTCTATACTTGTTGGCATACTTGCTTCAGTTGTCAATTTATTTTTTAAATTATGCCTTCAAATGCATGACGCTGTTGTTCCATGGTGTTTCTTCTCTCATGGAAATACTTTTTTAGTTTTATAAGTCTGGGACTACCTGTTGTTTACCCATTAATAATATGGTGTTACTAGACACAGGAATTGGTCGAGAGTTTCGTGTTGTTAGAGACAACAGGGAAAATCAGAATGTCAATAGGGACCTTAAGCCAGAAGTTCCTCACCGTTCTGTCCTCGGTCATGAGCGAGTGGGAACAAGTTTCCGAGAAAAGAGGTTTGACTGTTTCCTTTTTGTATATTAGTTCAATAATTTTTTTTGTATTTATTGATTGGTGGTGCTTAATTGGGAGCATACAGCTCGAATTATCAGATAACAAGTGATTATTGTTCTTGGAGATTTTATTCTTCTTTTCAGTACACGACTTCTACGGCTGATGTCGCATCAGAAGAATATTGTACGTTTCTTGGTCTTTTTTCATTCCTCTTTGTCCAGGGTGCAAAACATTGACAACTAGCAGGCCATAAAAAGGGTTACCAGGTTTAATAGGTTCGTTATTGTTCAAAGAACTCGTGCTTTTGTCGGCAGTACTGGTTTATAGCGGGTCTGCATTGGGCTTGTTAGTTGCATAAGATAAGTTCCGTGTGTATGTCTTTTCTGGAGGAATGTTTCCACGCAGATTTGCCATTCCAGTTTCCCTTTTAGGGGGGATATTCTGATCCTCTTGGAGATGATAAGCAAAAAAAAATTCCCAGCTCCTGGAGAGACTGAGGATGATGCCAAACCAGTCATGGCCTTCAAGTTGCCCATTGAAATTCCCGGCTCCTGGCATAGTTTATCAATGTACTTCGAAGATGAGGATTTTACCTGCAAAAGCAGAAAGGAGGGTTGCTTCGCTTCTAACTGACAACTCTAATTTTTTTCGTTTTCTTGTTGCAAGTGCTCTGCTGCCACCAAAGTTGCGGAATATGATCATGTTTCTACTGTGAAAACTCTTTTTTGTTATATTCTTTTCATTATAAATAGCATTACTCAGAAGAATCATAAAATTGTTAGGTACTTATTTTGTCTTCTATTTTTGTTTTGATCGACTTATTTGATACCATTTAGATTCCACATATCGTACTTGAGAGCTCTGATTTAGGAGCTTCAAAAATCTTGCAAGAAAATGAAAAATATCATTTTATGGAGAGGCTGAACCCAAGATCTACACAGTTTTGTTAGACTTCTGGCAAGCTCTATCAAATTAGTTGCTGTTAATATTGAGGGTGCTTCATTATGAATGAAGACTGGTTTCGGTCAAGTCTCAGTCTTTATTTTTTTTCTCCCTCTATTTTTTAGTTCTATATCCACTACGAAATAGTGTGATGTTTGGACCCTTTTTGCAATGAAGATTAATTAGTTTTTTGTTGAATAGCAAACACAGTATGTCGGTTCCACTGGTAAGTTAGATAATTGGCATACAGTAAAAAGGGACCTTTTTATTGGTTGAAGGTCCAAAATTCCTCAATGAATAAAACGTTGTGTAGTGCATTGGTTTTGCAGGGAGGGTTGAGTGTTTTGACTGTGGAGTTTAATTGGAGTTGCAGTGACTAAAAACTTGACTTGAACTCAGGGTTTGACTGGAAAGGGATCACCTAGGGGAAGTGGACCTGCTGGTCATAACTTTAAGGCCGTTAGGTCCCTTTCATGGGGTGCCTTTATGCTGAAAGTGCCAATATGTGCATCAAAAGTCGGGAAAGGGATAGGAAAAATTAAAGAAGATGCCCTCTTCGCTACCCACAACTTTAACAGCAACTGCCCCTTGCCGTCTTTCTCAACTTTCATGATGGGAAGATGTTGCCCAGTCTTATGCCAGGTAGAAACGCAGTATGTACGAACGTATGTTAATATTGTAGATGGGAGGCAGGAAGGTGCTATGCAGGAAGGTAGAGTGATGTATACTATGGTCAGGAAAGGCGTTATGCCGGAGGGTATATTGGTATGGATTGATAGGCAAACGAGTGCATTGAACGGGATGATTGGAGGGAACTTCTCATCAAGACGTCTTCTATGTTTTATGATTGTTTTTAATGGTGATGCTTGTATTGGTTAATGGTAATTGTTGAGAGATTGGTAGTAGGGCCTGAAAGAGTATGGTGAAGTGGGCAGAGGGTTAATGGGATAAAATGACATGTGTGTTTGCATTTCCCGTGCATTTACTGGTAGGATAGCTAGGCTGTATCTTTAGTTTAATTATTACACTCACTGAAGTTCTTATAGATTTAGTGGTTTTAAATTATCGTCGAATATGCATTGATATTTTTTCATTGTATTTCGCTCGTGTAGGAGTTTAGTTTTGTTCGTTGTTCTTAACTATAGGCAAACAAACTAATCCCTTCATGCTACGTTCTTCTCTTACTATTTTCTCTGATTTCCTGTAGCTCTTCAGGAAACCAAGATAATGAGAATCACTCAAATGCAAGAACTGGGGAGAAGTTTTCATCTGAAAGAATTAATTCTTCAAAGGCCGGTGATCATGGCAAAGTAGCTGATACAAGTGATCTTTATAGACGGTCAACTCTTGAGGCTGGCACAACAATGACAAAGTCATTGTTGCAGGTGCAAAAAGGAGTCGACCCTGGTTCTCACTCGCATTCTGAGATACTAGTAATATCTAGTTCTTCAAGTGGAGTGTATGCTTCATCCTCAGACCCTGTCCATGTACCATCTCCTGACTCCAGATCAGCTGGTACTGTTGGAGCAATTAGACGTGAAGTTGGTGTAGTTGGTGGTCGCCGCCATTCATCTGAACGCCCAGCCTCACATTCATCATATTCAAATAATTCCTTTTCACTTCCACTGCTGGCAAAAGATATCTCTACAACTGCAGATTCTGAGGGATATTCTAAAGTCAGTCAGCTAAATCAATCACCTGCATCAGAGTCTGTTGTTCCTGGTAGTAGACCTTTTTCTAGTCATCAGTATCAAAACAAATTTCACCAACAGTCTCTTGGCCATCAGAAAGGTACGTTTCGTATTGTATTTTAGTTATTACATTTTGCATTTTTCTACTTCTATCATCATTTTGTGTCTACATGATGTGTTCTTTTATAATTTGTTTATTTCTGATAAATATATAATGAACCGTTGGAGTCTTTCGGATTATGAGAAATTTGGGTGTTATGGTGCTAGGATTTGTTATAACTTTGGATGTGGACTATCCTCTTGAGAGATTTGTATTTTTCTTGAAGAGTGAAAATGAAATTTACATGCTGAGATATTTGGCGACATACTATATAAATCATCATAAAATGACGAATATGTATATATATGAAATTTGAAAGGAAAGGATTGCATTATAGGAATTTCAATTCCTTTATTACTCATTGAGGCAGTGATCGTCTTTTTTTCCATTCTTTAAATGGATTTTTTCATTTGACTGTATGCTATAAAATTGTCTTTTTGGTTTTTACTTTGTTTCCTCTTTACTTTAAAATGTGTAACCTTATCAATATTGCTCTGGACTGCACACTAAAAGACAAGTGAAGTTCCTGTTTATTAAAAGGCTGAAAGCTTTTGGAAATTAGATTTATGCTTTTGATTAAAAGTGCCATTCTTTTTGCTTGAACTTAATTGTTATTTTGGAGGATAGAATACAGGATAAAAATATCATAGCTTCCTAGGTTTACCAAACGATTCATTTCTTTCTGTTGGTACCGGCAGTTCGTGGATATTTATGCATTGTATGAATTTTGGGTTTTTGAAGCTCGTATTTTTGGTTGTTCCTTGAATGGAACTAATGATAGGTTCGGAAAGGGAAAAACCCCCCTCGTCCTGCACTTTTACTTCTGATTCCTGAGCTGCTTTCTGCCAGGCAAATTGTCTGATCAAGTTAGCTACTATGCTATGTGAGACTCGTGCTGGAATCTCTGTAAATCATCAATTCTTAACATTGTAGTCTGTGTCATTAATACCACATTTGGCGGTTAAGGGAAAAATTCAAACATAATAAGATTCAGAGATTTAAACTGATTGTGAGAAACATGTGTTTACTTTTTGGGGAGGGAGGGGGTGTAAAAATCGAGAGTATGAATCATACTTATTTGGGCAGTGGGATGGTGAGTAAAGTGCATAAGATTGCCGAAGCAATTATGTACGCAAAGCAATATGCGAAAGGAATTGAGGTCAAGGATGATACCCGTCCTGCTCTCTTGGCTAATATCATGGGCAGAAAGGATATCTTGTATTTTTTTCCCCTTTGCTTATTTGCATGGATGAGTAGAGAAGGCTGTCATTTTTTTTTTTCTGGTTTTCATTTGTAGCTTTTCTGAGAAATATATCTTCTCCAATAAATGACTGGGGACTTTCTATCCAATTATGGAAATAACCGGATCTGCTACCTTCAATAATTCCATTTACGAGTTAAGCATTTATATTTTTTATGTATGAAATATACGTTTAAGATACCTGTTTTAATTCAGCTTCTCAAATTAACATGGAGTGGAGGCCCAAGTCAAGCCAAAAATCAAGAATTGTTGACACTGGTGTCATCGAAGCAGGGCCTGCTTCATCTCCTACTGAGAATTCCTCAAATTTGGAGGTAGCTGCTCTGTCAGATAGACTTTCAGAGGCTAATGTTTTTGATAGCAAGCATGTCATTATCCCCCAGCATCTTCGAGTTCCAGAAGCAGAGAGGGCTGGGTTGACGTTTGGTAGCTTTGGGTCTGGTTTTGATTCTGGTAAGGGGTTCCAGTCATATGCTGCTGTGGAAGCACCTGCAAATGAACCTTCTGTAAGGTTGTTATTGAACACTTGTTTTGCAGGTTTTATTTTCGGAAGTGTTTCTTTATGATTTTTCTTGGCACTTGATGGTACCTTGTGTGCTCTGATTTTAGTAATGCCTTCTGCTATGTGTTTTTTCCTGTTGCCTTGCTGAACTCCGATTTCAACGACCACGAATTCGAATCGTTCTCAAGTTGATTTCTTCATACTCGTGTTTTAACCTCTATTTTTTCTGAAATATATATTTCTGTTTCACTTTAATTACCATTTAAAGTCGGTTTTCTGTGCATGACCTTCAAAATACTTTTCTGTTTGAGTATTTTGGTACACTTCTGTGGCTTATTGCAATGACGTGAGACTCTTGATGTTGATGCTTTTCCCGGCATACACTGTTTCTTAATTTAGTCCGGCAGGAAAGAGGAGGCATAGTCTTCAAAGTATAATTTAGACCTATTCTGGTATCCCTAGATCTAATTCATACCAATTTCTGGTATTTATTGTCCTGTCAAATCTGTTTTTGCTTTAGTACATCCATAAAGTATTTATATTACATAAGCCAAGCATTTTTCAGACATTTAGGCACCACGGTGAGTCCTATGAATAGATGCAAAAGGTTTTTGGTGGTTTCATATTTCTTCCTCGAGTCTCTCGAGTTTTTATAATTTCGTCATAAACGTATCTTACTGGAACCTGATCTAGATTATGAGGTTATAACAAAAAAAGTTATTTTATAATTTTGCCATTCGCAAATTTGTGAAGTCAGTCAATGGGAGCAATGATAGTGATAAATATTTATAAATTTTCTGCTTTTTAGTTGTGTTGTAGACTTTTTTCTTAATTGAGGTATATGATCTCCATTTTATGTTTCTGTACATAATCTATATTTACGTTTTTTTGACTTCCAGCAGGACATCAGTCTCAGTTCCGGTTGGATCTAGTGAAGACCTTTCCCTCGGAGATCAGACAGACCTGGTAGATGGCCAAACCAGAACTTCTCAGTCGAGTTCTCCATCTTCAGCTGCAGAGTCTGAGCGGGCACATCTTGAAAAAATTGATGCACCAAGTCCCGGTAATACAGGGAATTTCACTGATATTGGATTGGTTCAGAGCCAAAGTGCTTCTTTTGATGAACCTGAGCAAGAGCAGATGCAACATCCTCCCTCGCTGCCAAACTTTTCAGTAAGTCATTGATTGACCATAAAGGGGTTTTATGTTTTCTCAATCTCTGGAACATTTTTTAAATGCTTATCATCTAGATGTTCTTCAGTAATTTATGGCTTATGAGTTATTTCGTTTTCAATGATAGTATGTCTAGCGACGGTTGTTATTTTTATTTTTAATGTTCTCTGACTTTTCATTTTGCATTCAGATCAACCCCCCTTCATCTCCTTGGTTTCAGGAAGCGTATGATCCTCAACACAGTTATGAGATGCAATTCTTTGGATCAGGAATGGAAGATAGCGTTCACGGACAGAGGCTGTCCTCACCACCTGAGGTATTACTCATGGCTAATCGATGTGCTGTTGAACTTTTTCCCTTTTTGAAGAACTGGGGATACTCCCCTTATTAATTTTCAGCAAATCGTTGTCTATTTGAGAAGGCCATTGCCAACAGCAAATCTGTACACTGCGATTTTTTCAAAACTTTCTTCCTGGCGTTTCAAATTGAAGATCCCTCATAGTCTGATGAATATGTTGTTTTCCCTGTCAAGATTCAGTAGTTAAACATCCAATCTTCTTCTTTTGTGCTTTTCCTCTGTTTCGCTGAGAATCTAGTCACTCAATAAACCCACATGACCACACAAATGAGACCTAGACTGAGGCTTGGCAGTTCACATACTGAACTTCAATGTAGACAATGTGTGCAACAGGTGGTCAATAGGATTGGGAATATTCCTTCGGGAAAAGGATTTTAGTTTGATCCCGTGATAGAGTAACCAGCGGGCAATATGTTAGCTGACTAATATGACATTGATGAAGGAGAATAGTGTTGTACAGTAGCATTCATTGGTGTCATAAATCTTTTCTTATTTACACGGAATTCTGGGCCTGTGTAACAAATACTACCTTACACAATTTGGATTTGATCGGGGTTGACTATTCTTTAAAGTTGACGTTAAAGGAAGGTAGAGGTTAAAATTCTGAAACGTATGGTCTCACCCCTATCAGCTAGTTTCTAGCAAGTTTGCCACAAGTGGAGGGAATGGGGGAGCTGCACTTTCATTTTGCTGGCTAAGTTCAGAGGAAGAGCAGAAGGGGTGCCAGAGAAAACGAAACCTTTGACTGATCTATGTAAACTGCCACAGCTTCAGCCCATTGGCTGTCACACAAATGCTCTGTCCTATGTAATGAGCTAGTCTACAAGGGAAAGGGTCGTTGGGGATAGTGGTAGAGTATATAAGTTTCTTCTAAACATTTCCTTAGCTTTCTTCAAGTTTATATCTTTTGTCAACTATTTATTTATATTCTCTATTGGCCATACTTCGGTTTTTAGCTTGATTGGGTTCCTAAACCATTTGGTTGGATTCTGGCGTCCAATTCGATCTGTATGTGATGATCGATGCAGCTGTTTACAGCTGGCCGTTCTTTGAGGAAATTTGACCATCCGCGAAGCCGATGAAATGAAAAAAATTATGGAACATATCAGTTGTTCACAATTGCACCGGGGGTAATATTGTCTAAAAAAAATTGTTCTTGGAGGATGTTGTGCATCATCACATGATTAGATGCAGATTGCCGACTCTTCACATTTTGGCTAGTTTTTCGAAAATCGTCAGAGATGTGTCGGGGTTCTGCTGCTCCAGAAAAACATTCGATAAGTCCCCTCCATCCTTCATACGCTAGTCACCTATCCTAATTACTGTTCTTCCTTTGACATCTCTGTCAATCTGTCATGTGCCAATAATTTCCGCATTGGGGAGATCCTACTGATTGCCCGCCTTCCCTGGTGCCAGTCTCCCCTCGGAACTCCTCTCATATGCTGCAAATGCAAATGTACCTTTTTTTAGTTGTTCATCCTTCAATTCATGATGTAGAACACAAATTCCTTGACCCGATTAATTCCTTCTTACTTCTTTTTCTTTTTTTCTTATGATCTTCTTTCTCCGTCGATGATGATTTTGCTCAGGCCCTCGGTCAGCACATCGCAATCAGCAGCCCCGCTTCCACCGTAGCCATGGTGCAGCACCAGGCGGCGTTGGCACAGCAGCAGCCGGTGCTCTACCCCCAGCTCCACCTCTCTCATTACCCCAACTTCGTGCCCTACCGTCAAATCCTCTCGCCGATGTACGTCCCCCCCATGGCCATCCCCAACTACTCCGCCAGCCCCGCCTATCCCCACCCCTCCTCCGGAAGCAGCTACTTGCTGATGCCCGGAGGCAACTCTCACCTCGCCGCTGCCGGTGGTGGCATGAAGTACGCGGCCTCACAGTACAAGCCACTCCCTGCCGGGAACCCCACCGCCTATGCTAACTACACCAGCCCAGCCGGCTACGCCCTCAGCGCCACTGGCACCATCGGTGGTGGAAGCGGCCTTGACGATGTGAGCAGGATCAAGTACAAGGACAGCAATCTCTACGTTCCCGGCCCCCAGGTACCACCCTTGCCGTCGACCAATCTCGACGTGCCGCCATTTCTAACGAGTCTCTCCGCTTAATTTTTGCAGGCGGAGGCGTCGGAGATTTGGATCCAGACGCAGAGGGATCTGCCGAACATGCATTCCGCCGCCCCGTTCTACAACATGTCCGGCCAGGCGCCGCATGCGGCGTACCTGCCCACGCCGACGGGCCATGCGTCGTTCAATGCGGCGGCGCAGTCGTCCCACGTGCAGTTCCCTGGCGTGTACCATCATCCGGCCCAACCGGGGCCAATCAGTAGCCCCCACCACCTGGTGCACCAGCAAGTAGTACCTCCGGCCGTGGGCGGCGGCGTCGGCGTGGCGGCCCCGGGGCCCCAGGTCGGGTCCTACCAGCAGCCGCAGGTCAGCCACCTCAACTGGACGGGCAATTTCTGAGCCATCGTCTCCCAGTGCCAGCCTCGTCTTCTTCCTCACGGGCTCCTGCTGCTGGGGTCTCCCAGCCCCGCTTGGTTTACGGCCCTTAGTATTGGAATGAATACCCAGGCGCCCCCCCTGCCTTGCTCCTTTGCGGTGGGAGAGGCATGGGGTCGGAGATCTCTCCCTAGGCAGAGAGGATCTGTGAGGTAAATCGTATTTCTTTTATCTAAAGTTAGCAGCATTTCGGGGCTTTATTTTTGTATCGAAGTGCACACGGGTTCTTATTAATTACCGATGCAAATGGCTCTCCAGAATCCTCCGGTATGCCCCAGTCTGTAGCTTAGGGAGCTGGGTGCGCATTTCGTCGAACAGTTTCCTCGCCTGGGCCTGCCCCCCCAGGGAGCATATTCCCTTCACGAGGCCCTCGAAGGCGGCCTCCCTTACGGCGAGGCCCTCCGCCACCGCTTCCCGGAAGACCGTCGCCGCCATGGCCAGCTCCCCCTCGCTGCAGAGCCCGTCCATCACCGCGCCGTACATGCCCGCATCCGGCCGGTGCCCGGCCCTCCTCAGCGCGGCGACCAGCTCTTCCACCTCCCCCATCCTTCCCGGCCTCCTACAGAGCCCTGCAATCACGAAGCTGTAGGAGAGGAAGTTGGGCCGGCAGCCCCTCCTCGGCATCTCCCTTAGCAGCCACGCCGCCTTGCCCAGCTCCCCATTCTCCGCCAGCGCCGCCAGCAGCGCGTTGAAGAGTGAGACGTGCGGCGCGATGTTCCTGCTCCTCATCTCGTCCAGAGCTCCCATGGCGTCCCCCAACCGCCCTACCCGGCAGTACTCCTTGACGACCGGACCGTACGCCATGGAATCGAGCTCCGTCCCCTTCAGGGCGATTTCCCGCAGGTGCTCCGCCCCCTCGTCGGGACGCCCGGCGGCGCAGAGCCCCTTCACCAGGCAAGTGTGGGTGATCACGTCGGTCTTGATGGCGTCCAGGCGCATCCGCGCCATCATGTCGGAGGCCGCCTTCACGTCCCCGGCGGCGCAGAGCCCGCTGATGACGGCGTTGTAGGTCTGCAGATTCGGCTGCAGGTTCCACCGGCGGACCATCTCTTCCAGGCAGCTCCTCGCCTTCGCCGGCTCCCCCAGTCTGCTGAACCCGCTGATCAGGATGGTGAAGGTGACGGCGTCGGGGGAGCAGTCCTCCCTCTGTAACATCAAATCCACGGTGCTTCTGGCGGAGCCCATCATCCCCTTCCTGCAGTACCCGTCGATGAGGGTGTTGTAGGTGACGAGATTGGGGCGGCAGCTCATCGCCTGGAAGATTTCCTCCGCCTCCGCCAAGAGACCAAGCTTGCAGTAGCCGCGGATCAGGGTGGTGCAGGCGGTGACGTCCGGCTCGACCCGTCCATCCTCCACGATCTGATCGAAGACCGCTCGCGCGAGCTGGACCCGGTTGGCCCGCACCAGGACCCTGAGGATGGCGCCATGGGAGTAGCGACCCAGAGAGCCCCGGCGGCGCTGAAACCAGTCGATGGCGCCGCGGATGTCGCCGAGATCGCCGAAGCGGGCAATGAACTTGGCAGCGAGGAAGTCGTGGTGGGTCGGCCAGGCGGAGGACGCGGCGACTGCGGAGAGGAGGGACTCGGCGGCGGAGAACAGCTGATGGGATAGCAGAAGGTCGACAACGGCGGCGTAGCAGGCGGCGGTGGGTGAGAAGCGGGCGGCGGCCCAACGGAAGAACTGGAGGGCCGGCAGGGGGTTCTTCTGGCACTGCGGGGAACTGATCACCTCCATCACAAGGCCGGCGCTCAGATGGGCGGCGAAGGGGTCGAGCGTCGACGGCGGCGGCGGAAACAGAGCACACAAGTCTTTCACACGAACACCCGACGGACGCTCCGGCGGTGGCAGCGTCTGGAGGGTGGAGAGAATGGAACAGGTGACAGAGGGCAACCGAGAGGGAGCAGCTCCATCGGCCGGCACTAGGGTTCGAATGGCGGCGGAGACGCGCATCTGGCCACCCCTGTAGACGCGGCGGCGCTGCTCCGCCCAAGTTGGGAGAAAGAGGACGGTCAGAGTTGTTCTATAGTGAGAAGGGTTTTCAGTTGGTCCGGCCTGAGGAGATATAAATCCAGGCCCAGTCCTAGGCCCATTTTAGGTGGGTAGTTTAGGGACGGGCCCGTAACCTAAATGGATTCGGTGCAATTTATCAGCGGCAAAGTGGGTACCATCAGAGTCTCTTTCTCGTTGACTTCTCTGTCCTTCATACGTGGGCCATAAAGCGCCGCATCGGGGGCCCACCATGGGAATCTAAGGGCCCCAGAATTGTCGCGATGTTGATCCGTAGAAAAGTAGGTTCCAGAACTGGGGCCGGGCGGTGGCTGCTTGTCCAGAGGGGCACGAAGCAGTCGGGGAACTAGATAACAGTTGCTAGAATTCATCTTCTCCATGGAACAAGTAAAGAGAAGATCCCGTCGTTCACATGTTACAGGAAAAATGGGGAAAATAAAGAGCCGCGATACAGGCGGAGAGGTCGACCCTCTCCTCCGTGCTTCATCTAGCTGTTCCAGTAGCCCCTGCCACTGGTTGCGGAGGGGGACCTCATCTTGTCGAACCAGCTCCAGAACTCGGGGTTGCAGTGGGCTGGAGAGGACACCTCCGGCCGGGGGGTGAAGGGGCCGGCGGAGCCCCTCCACATCGCCAGGCAAGTGGAGAGGGCGTCGCCGAGCTTCCCCTCGTCGATGGCGTCGACCACCTTCTCGATGCACTCCCCGGGGCTGATCTTCTTCTCCCCAGTGAGGAACTCCGCCCCAGCCACGGATCGGACCAGCTTGTAAATGGGATATGTCCGGCACTTCCTAGCTCGGTGGGCGACCAAGAAGTCGCCCTTCTCGAACCGCTGCCTGGCCTGCGGCACCTCCTCGGACAGCCTCGCCTTGAGCTCCTCCTGGAAGATCGGGATCCGCGTGAACACGGCGTATCCGTCCTCGCTCTTGTTGAGGGACTTCTCCACGAGCACCTCTCGCAGCTGTAGCAGCAGCGCGTAGGAAGGATTGGCGGGGTCGTCGATGTAGGAGAAGACCGGCTGGCACTCGACCACCTGGAGGAGGTCTTTCTCGCAGAAGCGGGACTCGAGCATGGTCCCGTCCTCCGCCGTGTACAGCGTCTTCCTCGCCGCCTCCGTCACGGCGTGCCTCACCACCTCCCGCAGGTTCTCCTCCAGGTGTCTCAGGTCCAGCGCCTGGCAGAGGCCCACCATGTAGGTCGACATCATCAGCTTCAGGATCTCCACCGCCTCGGCGCTCTTCCTCGCCGAGATCAGGCCCAGCGAGTTAACGTCCTGGTTGTGCTGCTCGGCGCTCTGGACGTGGGTCGTCACCGGGTTGGCGAGGTACTGCAGCTCCGAGCAGTAGGCCGCCATGGCGATCTCGGCTCCCTTGAGCCCGTAGTCCAAGCTGGGGTCCTCCCCGCCGCTGAGGTTCGACGGCAGTCCGTTATTGTAGTAGTCGCAGACCAGCTCAGAGAACTGGGCGAAGACGAGCTTCCCGATGGCGGCGACGGCGATGCGGAGATTGTCCATGGAGACACCAACGGGGGTCCCCTGGAAGTTTCCCCCGTGGAGCGCGATATCGCGGGCCACGTCGATCAGGGGGTTATCGTTGACCGAGTTGATTTCCCTCTCGATTGCGTGGGTCGCCATCCGGATGACCTCGATCTGGGGCCCCAGCCACTGGGGGGACGTCCGGAGGGCATACCTGTCCTGCTTCGGCTTCGTCAGAGGCTCCTTCTCGTTCCTCACCTTCGCCTCCCTCATGTAGTCGCTGCCGTCGAGGAGGAACTCCATGATCGCCGCCGACTCGATCTGACCCGGGTGGTGCTTCAGCTCGTGGGTCAGTGGGTCGGTGAATTCGGGCTTCCCCTGCATGGCCTCGCAGAAGAGGGCCGACAGCACCACCGACAGGAGCGCCAGCACGTTGGCATCGAAGCAGACGGTGGCGGCCACCGCCGAGCCGACAGCCGTCCCATTAACCAGCGCGAGCCCCTCCTTTGCCTGGAGTTCGAAGGGGCACAGGATCCCCACGCGCTTGAGGGCCTCCGAGGATGTGAGCTCCTCGCCTTCGAGGGTGATGGCCCGGGAGTTGTGCCGGCCGGTGAGCAGGCCTGCAATGTAGGAGAGGGGGACCAGATCGCCGGAGGCGGTGATGGTTCCCCTGAGGGGGAGTTTGGGGATGACGTTCTGGTTCATGAGCTTGGCCACCGCCTCCAGGACCTCCCAGCGGATGCCTGAGTATCCCTGCATGAGAGTATTCGTCCGCACGAGCATGGCCGCCTTGGAGTAGCTTGTGGGGAGGAAGTCCTTGCCGATGACCCCGGCGTTGAGAAATCTGATCAGCTCGGTCTGCAAGTCGGTCACCTTCTTTGTCCGCCGGTGCGACGTCGCCCCGAAGCCGGTGGTAACGCCGTACGTGTCAGTGCCCCTCGCTATGTTGTCCGCCACCCACTTGGCGCTCCTGTCGACACGGTCCCTCGCCACCGGCTCGTTGAGCCTGACGGCTACTTCCTGCCGGCGCGACACGGCGGCCACCTGCGCCACCGTGAGGGTGGTGCCCTGGAGATCCACCATCTGGGTGCTCTGGTACTGAGAGATCATCCGGCGGACCTCCTCGAAGTGGGTGCACTGGAGCGCCTCTGCGGCCTTCTTCCAGTGGGGAGGTTCGGGGATGTAGGAGTTGCCGGAGACGAAGATGGGGTTGATGCCATCCTTGGGAAGGGGAAGCGTAGGGGGCCGGAAGGCCTCCGTCGGGCGAACAAGGCCGTTCGGCTGCGCCGCCATGGTCGCCTTCCTTGCAACTGGAGAGAAGGGCAGGGGTGGGTGGCCGGCCTCTCGTGCCTGTAAAGAAGAATAGAAGCTCGCACTGGTGGGAGATTGAGGCGTCTCCTGAGAGTTGAAAGGTAGAAGACGATGAAATTTATAGGAATTGCAGGGGAGATAACAAGCTTCCGCTGTGACCTCGGAGCACACTCCCTTAAAGGGTTTCCACGTCTCGCCATCTGCGGCGTGCCGTCATAAGACTCATTCTGCTCAACAGGAGCACGTTAGTTGAAGAAACGCCGCATACTTTTCTCAAGATCTGTGGAGAAATGGTCAAGGGTCAAGAATCAGTGCTAAATTTGGACGCAAGTGGGTTGTTGGACTACTCGGTTGGTGGCTGCAGCCGCCGGGAAAGGGTGAAGATGCTTCCCCCCACGTGGAAGGCCCTGTTTGACCGTTTCACATTCGACGAACCATAGCGTAGGAACAGAGGGACGGAGGGAGGAAGGGAGAGAGCACGGGCCCAGAGGGGGGGGGGAGAGAGAGAGAGAGAGGGAAGGAGGGAGGGAGAGTAATCAGACAGCATGGTTACACATATTACGTGAATGAACCGCTAACTTTGACACATGAATCATTAAATGTACAACTATTGACCCACCGTGCAAATACTTCCATTTGCTCCATGTCTTTCTTCGGCGGCATACGGTCATCCATCCTTCTCAGCATGGTCATTTTCTAGTTCTTTGTCAATATTTTTTCTTTCGTTGGGGTGATTGGAAATATAATATCGCACTATCCAGGCACAGTCCAAGACCGAGGCTAGATATGGTACAATAATCGTCAACTATCTATCTCTCTCTCTCTCTAGCTTAGTGTCTGGTATGTGGGTACCAGCAAGGGTAGACCTGGCGACCAATGATTTAGATCTTGTAGGGCTCAAATCCAAGGTCATGAACATTGGATCGAAGTGATCATCCGTTTCGAGCCACGACGGAACGACATAGGGGATTGGGAGTTGCCAACTCATAAAGAAATCTCACACTGGAATTTATTAAATTATTAATAAGTGGTAGCTGACACACCCGATATGGTTGGTGAGGGGGCCATGTGCAACGAAAAGACGGCCAATAATATCACCAAGTTGAGCCATCGATGGACTCCATAAAGTTCAGCCCATAACGAGCGGGCTAATTACAGTTTCGATAAAATTCCAAGGAAAATAAAAATATATTAAATATTAAATATTCTTGTAAAATAATGCCGCATGGCATAGAGATCAGTTATATTAAGGATAAATAAAAATTGAGAAAATCAAATCAGAACAACCAGTCATCATCTTAGTCTTGGACCCAAGTTTAACTGGAGGCCCGGTCTTAGAGCTTGGTAAGGTTTGTATCTCTCACCAACCACCTCTCGCAAAAAATAACCCTCATAATTCATCCCCTGGTCTTTCTGTGGGCAATTTCAAAAATATTCTAATATCACTCTGAAACGTTCCCAAAATTATCTTGTCGATCACCTCCTCTCTCTCTCTATATATATATATATATCTGTGACTGGGCTGGGCCTGGACACCACCAGATGTCGCCCGGATGGGGCAACCAGAAGAGGTCAAGTGATTTGGGCACAAATGGGCAACACCGTTTTATATGATCATCCGCCTCCAGAGTGCACCAGCGGGGATGGAGGGGTGGGCCGATTTGGGCCTTTAGTTCATATGGGCACCCCCCACGCAAGCTTGGTTTATGACGGTGGGCAAACAGCGACGGGGATTCCCGATGAAGGACTGAAAAAAGAGAGAAAAGCAGCGCTCGAACAGCCGTGCGGCTGGGGTGAAGAATGAAACTTGGGCGCTATGACTTGAAGATCGAATTCAACTCAGGGCAGAAATACAGGGTAAACAACAGTCTGATGCGCAGGATACTTCTAGAACGCGCACGCATGGGCTTGTGGTGTGACCTCATACCTCCTCTGATGTCCCGCAAACTCGGAGTGTGTCGGTGTACGAGCAGATGTAGGAACGCCACCACCCTGGCTGGCGACTGATGAACTTCCGGCCTTCGCCGTTGTGCATGTCGTAGAGGTAGACGCCCCTCCGCCGTGAAGAAGAGGATGTCGCCGTTCACCAGCGAGAACGCTCCGATGGGTCGTGGCTCCAGCCCCACTGAGGCTAAGCTCACCTGGAGGTTCCGCTCCTCCCACACCCACCGGTTGGGGTCCCTCATGTCCTAGATGGTGAAATCGGACGCCCCGTTGCAGACGACCAGGCCGAGGAGAGAGCCACCGCCGGACCCTGCGATCTCTTTGTCGCCGTCGTCCGAAGTGAGGACGGCCTTCTCCGGCAGCGGTAGGATCCTGGGATTCCCGGGCAGCTGGGCCCCCCCAAAATGGCCGCGCAGGAAGAGACCAGCGTCAGTCTTCGCGCGGCGAGCTTGGGAGAGGTGGAAGGACTGGCTCTGGGTTGCAGCGTTGAAGGTCTTGTAGAGGCTCCGGCGTCTGACCACCTACTTCAAAGGCAGCCACGAGAGGAACTCTGATGCAGAATCCTGCATGAATGTACAAACATAGGCTTATGGACCTCTCAACAGCTCTTGTTTATAAAGGGACTAAGATTCCAGCCTCTTGGGAGTAATTCATCCACCACAAGCTGTTTACTCACACTGTAGAAGTATAATACACACACCCATGAGGAAATAAAGTCTTATACATAAAATGAAAAAGTGTTTAGGGCATCAACATAAGTGACCAAGGCTGGCACAAGGTGCAGTGTGCAAGGTATCAACGTAGGTGACCAAGGGTCTGGATTTCAAGAATGACTGAAGAAAGTGGACCCTAGGCTCAACAAATCACTCATTTGGAGGAGGAAATTGCCATGTTCTCTATCTCATTTGAGGCTATGGAGGTGGGCTTCCAATTATCTGAGGCAAGATTATAAGACATACCTACAAGGGAGGTGGACATCAATGGATTGTGGGTAGAAATAATATAGTTAACCTTACACTTTTTGCTTGAAAATAAAATTTAGAAATTTCAACTTTTATATATTTTATATTCAGTAATATTTGATTGTGTACTTCTATAATTATCTTTTCTCTCTAGTGACCAAGTCTAACAAGCAATAAGATAGCATCATCACTACTAAACTAAGATTTTGTTGCATAATGAAACATAATAATATTACAAACTTTTGTAGAGATTTGAATTTATTTTACTTTATGAATTAACATACAAGAAAGTGTTGTGGAACCCTTAGATCTTATATATTGAAGTGCTGCTGCATATATGATTTGGTAGCTTGAATATTTAGTATATCATTTCTAATCACAAAGAATATCGTCCACATAAATAGTTAAGATGATAATACTGACTTCAATAGTCTTTATAAGTATTGTGGGATCTACAAAACATGATGAGAATCTGAATTGCACTAGAAGATTGCTGAACTTGACAAACCAAGTACATGAACTTTACTAAAGTTCATAAATGACACTGCAAAGACACACTTTTGATGACTCTTCTTGAACAACATATCTAAGAAATTGCTCCATAAATACTTGCTCCTCAAAGACATCATAAAGAAAAATATTAGAAACATCAAACTGATATAAAGATCATGCTTGATTCACTATCAGATAGAGTATCACTCAAATAGAGTTGAGTCAAATCACTGGAGAGAATGTCTCAATATAATCAATATCATAGGCCTACATAAATTCACGAGCAATCAAATGAGCCTAGTGACGTACAATAGATCCATGTAGATTATACTTAAGTCCGAAAACTTATTTACACGTGATGATGTTGATATTATGTGAAAAAGATACAAATGTCTAAGTTCTCTGAGACACTAAGACATCCACCTCTGAGTCCATAGCCGCCTTCCATTTAGGTACTTGTGTAGCCTCAACATACAACTGTGGAATCGACTAGGAGGCCACGAAAAGAGCAAAAGTACAAAAAGAAAGAGAAAGACAATCGTAGAAAATAAAGTGAGAAATGAGATGTCTAGTGCATACACATGTACATTTGCGGAGAGCAATTAGAAGATGAAGGTCATCCACCTGAGTGTTAGAAGAGATGATCAGAAAAGGCTCATCAGCAAAAGGTGACGATGAATCTAATCTCAGAGTATAAGAGTCGAATGACAATGAAGCCGAAGGTGTGGGAAGAGGAGCTAACGAGGGAGAAACTAGACAAATAGAAAGAGTAGAAGAAGGATTTACAATGATCGTCACATGAGGAAAACTAGGTGATGAAGATGTAGCAGATCAAAGAGAAGTCAATGTTGGAGAAAATAAGAGAAACTTCTCATGAAAAATAACATCAGCTGATGTCACATAGCGATGAATATCAAGAAAATAGACATGATAACCCTTTTGTGTTCGTGAGTAATCAATAAAAACCTCTTTGAGAGCATGAGGGGCCAATTTAGAAAGAGAAGGAGAGTGGTATTAGACGATAATAGTACATCTAAAGACATGAGAGGGTAATTAAAAAAAAAATTAAAATGAAAGACAATGAAGTGGAATGACCCCACAAAGTGGAGTGAAAGAAAACCGATTATAAAGATATGTGACTGTCAAGAGAGAGTTAGACCACAGATAATGAGAAACATCCATCTTAATGAGTAGTGTGTGAGCAATGTCAAGTAGTTGACAATATCTTTGTTTGGTAACACTATTTTGTTGGGATGTGTGTGGACATATGGTCTAATGAAGAATACCACGATTAGCACAAAATCTGCGAAGTGAATCTTAAATCAGCTCTAAAATATTATTGGTGCGAAGAATCTTGAGCATAATAGAGTACTAAGTGATGACATTGATAATGAAGTGAACAACTGTAGTGTGAACTTGGGTATGATATTGGAGAGAATAGACACAACTCACTTAAGTATAATCATCAACAAAGACAATATAATAATGATGACCTGAGATAGATGAAGTATGAGAGGGGCCCCAAATATCACAATAAATGAGGTTAAATAGTGTTATTAATAGAATATTACCTTGACTCGAGTATGAACCACGATGATGTTTGACTAATTGACACGACTCCTACACAAACTTATTAAGAGAAAGCTAAGGCAAAGTTTTTTGAAGTTTTTCAAAACAAAGATATCATAAACGACAATGTCACAAAAGAGATGAAGTAACTGTAGAGGAAATAAAAAGAGTGCGAAGGCCAAAAGATTAGCTTGTCCATTATCATGCATCAAATCAATCCTCCGCCTAATATACATATCCTAGAAGATACAATGAAAAGAAAAAAATATAATAGAACAAAAGATAACTAGAGTAATGACACTAATAGATAAGAGGTTAGTAGAAAATCTAGAAATATAGAGAATTTGGGTGAGAAGAATACTAAGGATAACAACAATATTGTCATGTCCAATGACCAAACAAGTCTAGTCATCGACAATAATAATCGGTAGATGATGAGAGGTAAACTAGTACGATAATAAAATAATGGGTGTGCCAATCATGGGGTAGAGACCCCCAAATTAATAATCTATGGTGGAGATGAAGATGTAAGGAGAGTGTGTGTACCTGATGTGGAAGGATTCAGAAATGATGCCAAATTGGTCAAGGAATGAGCCATGGTACCACTAGAGCAGCAGAGTACTTCATACTCAGTAGAGGTCAATATCATTTGAAAAGTTAGAGACAATACACTAGACAATATCGGAGAAGTAGGTAAAAGAGGTAAGAGAACCATTTGTGTAGAGTTGGGCTTCCCAAACTATTTTTGATATTTTTCGAATGGGTGGTTTTACTTGCCGCAATAGATGTATGGAGTAAAGGAATTGTAGCCCTTCCTTCATGACAGACGGCTACTGTTTGGTCTTAAAGTAGGAGGGTCATGTGGTGCTCAAGGAGTCGAGACAACTATCACTGAAGGGGTAGATTTCCCGTTGATGATAGTAAGAGGAGTGCAGTGCATGTACTCACACGAAGTGTAACAAAAAAATGTGAGAGATATCAAGTGCCTAGTCTTCAAAGAGGATCGTCCCATGAATTTGAGAGATAATCGATGGGTGAAGTCCACTCAGATAGACTCCGGCAAGAAACATCTGATAGTAGCGATTAAATGTCTGGACATTAGTGGTTAGAGGCTGATAGATGACAAGCTCCTATATTAGACCTAGAGACGACCAAAATGAGCATGAAGTAAGGAGTCGCCCTACTTATAGGTAAGAAGTGACTCAAAGATCTTGACCATATGATTGATATTCGTTTGATTGACGTATATGTTATCTAATTTCATCTAGAGTTATTGCATAGGGCAAATCTAGGTGAGAGGCTCGACAATACTCAGCTCAATGTTCTAAAATATCCAAGGATGGCTAAATTCAACTGAGACTATGAAGTAAAAAAAAAAATAGTGAGGTCAAGTGAATCAATCAATAAGTAGTGGAGAAGGTTGTGCGATATCAAGAAGTGCTCGAATTCCGAGGCCCACGACACATAATTATGTATATTAAAGATATATGCTAGTCGAGTGAGTTGCATCGTGATGAAGTGTTGTTGAGTAACCGATTGGAAGAAGAACTAAGAGAAGAGGCACATGAAATGTTGAGGATTCACTCACCGGATCCATAGATTAGGATTAGTAAGAGATGAGATGACACTGGGAGGGGACGTCCCCGACACCCCACGCGTCGCCTCTTGGCACCCCAAGCGACACGTGGGGTGTTGGGAGGCAATGCGTGGGGTGTCGGGAGATGTCACGTGGGGTGTCAATGAGAGATGGCACCATCAAGCGTGCATGCACGCAGCACGCTGGGTGGGCATGTAGGACGGTACTAGGCAACCACTAGACAGACATGCAAGTACGTGCAGTAGGAGGTGTGGCATGCATGCAAAAGCTACACATACTGGGCACCAGGTAGGCGCGCAAGGCAGCGCTGTAAAAGATTTTACCAAGAGATGATAGGTAACGCCAAGATGGGAGAGGAGGCGGAGTGACGGCAATGGAGAAACCCTAGGGCTATGATACCATATTGACAAGAGGAAGAGAAAGTCCTATCATTGATATATTGAAGAAGAGGAGTGCATGAGGTTATATAGAAGAGAGGAAAGAGAGAGAGAGAGGAAGAATAGGGACGTCGAGAGAATAAGTCCAAAATAGGCCTAGTGGACATATTCTAACACCTCCACTGAGCACATAAGTTATTTTAGTATTTTCATGTGTAAAAGATTTAGATATATAGCACATTTATGATTTCTTTTATAAATCAATAGTAGTATTCACTTTGAGAATGTTATATAGTACTCATCAACAAAACACAACTTAAGGGCATTAGCTACTTAAAATAAAATTCATTATAATATTCATCAATTAATTTTATACTTTTTCTAATCCAGAAATAGCTTTTAGATGCCTTTGTTGTATAGTGATTGTATTGGTACATTACTCAATAAGAAATAATAACCCCAGAAAAAAAATTATCCCATACCACATGGCAAAGCAAAGCAAAACTGCAAAACTATGAAAATCTTTTTGAGAAACTAAATATAGGACTTGAGTTACCTACCTAATAACATCAATTGTATTCCATGGTAAGGACACAAAAAAAATCTAGTATTTTTTAAAGGTTTGACTTTTTTGTGGCCAATAAACATGAACTGTTTCTAGAATGGCGGTGGATGTGTTCTTCAATATCAAACCATAGCCACTCAACATCAGCCAATCATCAAGGAAATGAACTAACTGAATTACAATAAGCCTATCATCACAAAGGAATTAAAAAATAATTCCAAAATACATATCATGAAAAAAAAATCCCCATAATTGGTCAACAAGTTTCTTTTCCATATTATATTATTTAAAAAATAAGGCAGAGACCTTTTCTTATCGAACTTGAAATTGGTTTTGTCACCTTGTATCCATGGTGAATTATTAATTTATTGATCTAATAATTAGCTAGCTTATATTACATGTTGTAGTATTAATTTTTAATATAATAATAAGTGAAAATTGACACTCTAGATATCACTCATGGGTCAAAGACGAGCAAGGAAAAGATGACCCCCAATCTCTCCAAGTGGAGGCATCGATGGGCTTCATCCAACCTGGTCCATAAATCAAGCCCGTTATTTGTCTCTCTATCGTGCCCCTCTCACACATCGAGGATGAATTGATTAGAGTGCAATAAAATACCCAAAGTATAGAATATATTAAAAAAATATTATTCACGTAAAATAATAGAGCATAACATAGAGACCAATTATATTATGAATAAATGAAAAGTAAACTAAGTAAAACCGGATCAAGTAACCATCGCAATGGGAACCAACTTCAAGGAAGGAAGCAAAATACCAGCCTTTCTAGAATGGGCATGATACTCATTTAGTGATCAACAAAACCATTGGATGTCTCCAAGTGAGAGAGGGATTAACGGGCTATATCAAGCCTGGCCCAGAAACCCAAGCCCATTATTTCTCTCTCTCTCTCTCTCTCTCTCTCTCCCTCCCTCCCTCTTACAGTCTAGGGGGGAGCTACTTAGGGCTGAATAAAACAAAAGGAAATAAAATCTATTAAAATCTTAAGTGTTGTCATGCGAAACTACACAGAGCACAATTATATTAGGGATCAATAAAAGTATAAAAATGAATAAAATTAGTTCACAAGTCATCATCTTAGTTTTGAGCCTCAAGTTTAACTAGCCAATAGGCATTCCCCAAGAGATGGGTTGCCTTGGACCATTCGCCAGACGTAGGCCTAACGCGTCAGCTAGAACAGGTCAAAGGGTTTGGGCTCAAGTGGGAAAGTCCCTTTATATGATTAAGCATCTCCAGCTATGTAGGGTGGCCCGTTTAGATGATAATGCGTCCACGCAGGCTTGGTTTATGAGGGTTGACACACACCGACTCAGATTCACGACGAGGGACTAGGAAAGAGAGAAAGGCCGCGCTCGGACTGCCGTGCGGGTGAGGCGAAGAATGAAACTTAGGCGTGTCATGGCGCTAGCTTCGAGATTCGAATTTTTATTCAACTCAGGGCAGCTATACAGGTAAACGACCGTCTGAATCGTAGGATATTTCAAGAACAAGCACGCATGGGCTTGTGTGGCGACCTCAACCCTCCTCTGACCTCCCGCAAGGTCGGAGGGTGTTGGCATACGAGTAGATGTAGGAACGGCACCCAGGCAGGCGACTTATAAACTTCCGGCCTCCGCCGCTGTGCATGTCGTAGACGTAGACGTACTCCTCCACCGTGAAGACAAGAATATCGCTGTTCACCAGCGAGAACCCTCCGATGGGCCGCGGCTCCAGCCCCATGGAGGTCATGTTCACCTGTAGGCCCCGCTCCTCCCACACCCACCGGTCGGGATCCTTCATGTCATAGATGGTGAACTCGGACGCCCCGTTGCAGACGACCAGGCTGATGAGAGAGCCATCGCCGGACACTGCGATCTCTATGTCGCCGTCGTCCGAAGCGAGGACGGCCTTCTCCGGCAGCGGCAGAATCCTGGAGCTCCCGACTTTGACGTCAACGGCGACAATGTAGGGGTCTTGCCTGTGGTATCTCCCGCAGGTTGAGGTAAGGTAGATGAGTCCACTGGAAGTGGGGACGGGGTGGTGGGACTTGATGTTTCTTGGGCCTACGAAGACCTTGTCGCTCACCAGCTTCCACCTCCGCTCCCCGGAGGAGTAGAGCCAGCACTCCATGAAGGAGCTCCAGTAGTCGGTCGGGGTGACGCAGACTACGTCCATGTCGACTCCATCGCCGAGCAGGATGGTGGCGCCGGCGCTCATGTTGTTGAGGATCTTCGCGCCGCCTGGACGCCCGAGGGGCAACGACGTCCGCCGGGCTGGATTATAGAGCAAGAGCCTCGAGGAGGCCGGCCCCTCCTGCCCGTCCTCGAGCAGGACGACCAACCCGCCGTTGGACCCGAGAATAATCTTATTCCCGGAGCTCAGGAACTGGAGTGATTCGGGGGGCACGCCGGCGCTCTCGTCCGTGAAGACGAGCTGGGACCCCACGAAATGGCCGCGCAGGAAGACACCGGCGTCAGCCTTCGCGCGGCGAGCCTGTAAGAGGTGGAAGGACCGGCTCTGGGTGGCGGTGTAGAAGCTCTTGCAGAGGCTCCGGCATCTGGCCACCTGCTTCGCAGGCGACCACGAGAGGATCTCGAGGCCGCACTCCTTGGGGAGTTCTCGGGGGCCGCTGTAGTCCATGGTCGAAGAGAAGATTGCATCGAAAGAGGGGTCGAGGAGAAGGCGAGATAGTTTCCTTCTCCCACAAGACCCAGTAATCCTGGTATGCCGCGCCGGTAGAGGGGGTCAGGGAATAGGAAGGATCGGCTGCAAGGGGACGAACGGTGTTTCCAGGTTTTAGGGCGGGAGGGCAGATACAAAATAATAGTCTTCCTTTCCCTTGCCATCGCAATACCCCGATATCAACTTTCCTCCGTTTAATCCCTCCTCTTGCCCAACGTGGGAGGAAGGGAGCGAGAGAGAGAGAGAGAGAGAGTCTGGAAAGGTGGTAGGGACAACAGAGATCCTATTTTCTGTTTTATAAATCTAAATAATGATCCTATATTCCTGGTCTCTCAAGAGACGACCTTTTGGAAACAACTTGAATCAAAATTTTCACTTGGGGCAAGATGTAGGTACAAAAGCCATAGTTCTCTAAAGGGAAGGGGGAGGAATAATGGACCAAGAAACTGGGGAATCAGGTCCACTTTCTGGGACTTGGCTAAAGAAATCCGACCAGACTCTGCCAACTAAAATGCCCACAATTCTGATTTTAATGAGTGCATGAAGCATATTAAGATTGACTACCACTTTGTTCAGCATCATCTTCAGCTCACCGCTCTTACATAGTCTGTTGTTCTATCATCTCTACACCTGGCTGATTTCATTACCAACACTCATTCCGTATCTCGTTTTCAATTTCTTCTAGAAAAACTCTCAATGGTTACCTCATTGTGAATTTGAGCAGGAAGTGTTAAAGTGATAGGCCCGTTACAGCCTAACACACTCACTTATGTTAGCCCATCTACCACATTAAAATAAATAGCATCATCTCGAGCTCATTCCTTGTGGACGGTGTACCACCTTTATTCCTCTGTCTCGATGGTTCCTCTCCTCTGCTCCTTCTCGATGACACTGCCTTCTCTTTCCTCCCTTCCGTCTCTCAGATTAACAGCCTTGAACCTCTAGTTAAGCGACCATTAGTGTCTGTCCTAGAGGTGGGTTAGGCCTGGGCTCTTCGCCAGATGTAGGCCGGATTGGCCAAAAAGAAGACGTCAATCGGTTTAGGCACAAGTCGGCAAGGTCCTTTATATCATTATGCATCTCCTGGTCTGCAAGGGCGGCCCGTTTAGAGGATAATTTGTCTGCATTCATGTGCCCCACGCAGGCTTTATTTAGGATGATAAGCACACAACGACTATGATTCGCGACACTACTCCGAGCAAACAGAAGGACTCTAATTTTTATTCGACTCAGGGAAGATATACAGGGTAAACGACCGTCTGAATCGTATGATATTTCAAGAACACGCAGAAATGGGCTTGCGGGGTGACCTCAGCCCTCCTGTGATCTCCCGCAAGGTCGGAGGGTGTTGGCGTACGAGCAGATAAAGGAACGGAACACTAGAGGGTGACGGATCAACTTCCGGCCTTGGCCGCTCTGTGTGTCGTAGACGTAGACGTATTCCTCTGCCGTGAAGACGAGGATGTTGCCGTTGACTAGAGAGAACCCTCCGATGGGCCTCGGCTCCAGCCCCATGGAGGCCATGCTCACCCGGAGGCCCCGCTCCTCCCACACCCACCGGTCGAGGTCCTTCATGTCGCAGATGGTGAACTCGGACCTCAGCTACAGACGACCAGGCTGAGGAGGGAGCCGCTGCCAGACCCTGCGATCTCTATATCATCATCATCTGAGATAGGAGAGCTCTCTCTCACGTTTCTCGAATGGTTGAGATAGGAGAGGTTCTCTCACACGTCTCCCGAATGAGTCAGTCGGGATGTATTAACACCATCAAACTCCACCTTAGTAGTCATCATTGCTGCACCTGGAGTCAACATCCGTCCATGCTACAAGTTCTCCATCTTCTGTCAATACCTACAACATGAATCAAATTCAAATAATATTTGAACTTTTTCAATGTGACAACTTTCATCAACATATCTGCGGTATTCTCTTCTGTGTGAACCTTCTTTAGAGAGATATCTCTAGAATTCACTAACTCACATATCTTGTGATACTGCACATCAATATGCTTTGATCGTGCATGATAGACCTGATTCTTTGCTAAGCAAATAACACTTTAATTGTCACAATGTAGAGGAACTTTACCCTATCAGATCCCAAGATTGCTCAATAATCCTTTAAACCACAAGACATCTTTGGCTGCTTCAATAGCTGTCATGTACTTCACCTCAATTATAGATAATGTAATAGTAGTCTAAAGTGTAGACTTCCAACTGACATGTCCACCAGCTAGGATAAAAACATATACTATCATAGATCTTCAATGATTTAAATCTCTAGTAAAATTAAAATCAACAAAGTCAATAGTAGAAAGATAATTTTGTCAGTCAAAATGGATTTTAAAATCTAAATAACCTTTTAGATATCAAAGAATACTACTCTAATGTTCATTTTCTAGATTGCTCATAAACCTACTCACAAGCCTAACTGCATGAGTAATATCTGTTTTAATACAAATCATAACATACATGAGAGAGCCAACCACACTAGTATAAAGAATTTACTTCATCTTAGTAATATCTTTCTCAGATGTTGAACATTGAGTAGTAGATAATTTGAAATAACTAATTAGAAGAGAGCTCACTGCTTTAGCATTATTTATGCCAAACAAATCCACCACCTTTGAAAGATAGCTCATTTGAGTCAACCATATGATGTGATATGTTTTTACTATAGTTGGTGTACTTATCAGCTAGAAGTCTACATTTCATACTATTGTTGCATTATCTACAATTGAGGCAGAATACATGACACCTATTGAAGCAGCTAAGGAGGTTTTGTCGTTAAAAAGATTATTGAGCGAACTTAAGATATGATAAGATGAAGTTCCTCTGTATTTTGATAGTTACAGTGCTATTTACTTAGTAAAGAATTAAGTCTATCATACTTGATCGAAGTATATTGATATGTAGTATCACAAGATCTATGAGTTGGTGATAGATAAGGGGCACCTAGTGGGCCAAGAGTCTAATACCACTATTAAATATTCTTACTCAAAATTTAGCATATAAGTCGAACATGCTTGACTTAGTACACGTGGTGTCATAGGAGATGTCGATTAGACTCTTCATGAATATGTCTACAAGCTGATGAGATGATGTCATATGAGGAGTAGAGATAAGTCCAAACATAACCTTATCTTAAATGTAGTGATAGTTGATCTCAATGTGCTTCGTATACTCATGAAAGGTGGAATTATTAACAATGAAGATGGTGGCTTAATTGTCATAATGCATGAACATTGAAGAGGAAAAAGTAATATTAAGATTGTCGAGAAGTGATCAAAGTCATACTATTTCTCACACTATATTAGTCATGACTAAATACTTGGATTTTACACTAGAGCAAGACACCACCCTCTATTTCTAGTACTGTTAGGTGACTAAGTTATTATCGACATATGTGCAATAATCCATAGTAGACTTTCAATCACCTTTGTCACTTACATACCCAACGTCAGAGTAAGCTACAATGTGGAGATCGTCGTGTTACTGATAAATGAACTCTTTCCTACTTAGTAGCAACACTTAGTTGACAATGCGCCCAACACTTAGTAGCAAGATGATTCTACTTTTCACAGTAATGACAAAGAGGAAAAGTATTGCACCCACATCTATAAGGAGGAAGGATATCGACAATGTAACCACTGTCAAGGCAAGAAGGAAGGATATCATCTTGAGCCCATGAAGTAACAACAATAAGAGAGAAATGAATAATGCTAATGTTTGGAGAGAAAGAAGAGAAATGGATAGACATACTAGTGGTGACCTAAAGGACTGCTGAGAAGATAGAGATGCAATCAGACACATGATTTCTAGAGAGAACAACCCCCTAGATTTAGGATGTGGTGGGCAGATGAAGTCTAGTGAGATAAACCTCAACATAGAGCTCCTAGCGATAGTGTTGAAGGGTCAAGAGGTCAATAGTAGGGAGCTGACAGATATCAACCTCCTAGATGAGGGCCTAGAGGCAACCGTAGTGGGACTGAAAAGAGAGATCACCTTGTTTGCAGGAGAGAAAAGACTCGAAGATCTTCATAACTCGACTAATATTTGTTCGATTGACGTACATAGTCTTCATAGTGAGTCACAAGAGACAAGTCAAGGTGATGCATGCTAGTGAGCCACAAGAGACAATTCTAGGCTTGATGCTCTAAAGTATCCATGTGATGATAGTCGAGTTGTGACCATGTCACATATAAGGGGTCTCAAAGGCTTGGTGGGTCTTCCGAGAGGTGATGGAGGAGACTATAAAATCTAAAGAAGAGCTCGAAGTTAGATGGCCATGATAGACAATTGTGGCCTTTGAAGATATAAACTAGTTGTACTGTGAGTTGCACTGTGATGGGCAATTGTCCATGATAGACAATTGTGATAGACAATTTCAAGAATAAGTTGCACTATGATGGAGTGACAAGTTGGAGAAACTATTAGAGAAGGGAGAACACCCGTTGGAAGAAGCTCAGAGGGTTTAAAGGCAAGTTATAGAGGGGGGTGAGATGACATCATGAGGTTGACGAGTTTGAGTCAAGAGGGGCTGGTAGAACTAGCTAGGCTCGGCTGGGGCTGACTGGGCCACACTAGGCTTGTGGATATGTGTGGGGCTGGCAGGTCCGATTGAGCCGGTCTAAAGGAAAACCGCCAACTAGCTCACCAAGAGATGGGCAAAACTCTAGCCACTACGATTGGACAGCAATGGCAAGGGCTGGGGCATGACGACAAGGGAGTGACAACAAGGGCGTGACAGTGAGGAGGGACCTCAACGACGGCGGCGACACCCTCAACACTTGAGAATGATGACACTCGTAACAATGTGACAGCGAGGTGCAACGGCAAGGAGGGATCTCGACGACGATAGTGACAGTGGAGACATCAAAAAAGAGGAGAGCAACGGCACCAATGAGGGGCAACAATGACGATGAGAGCAGCGTCGAAAGGAGGAGAGCGACAACAAAGACAATAATGTTAGAAGAGGGAAGATCAGCGACACTAAAGAGTCACCTGACAAGGGAAGAGGCTGGCAAGAAGAAGAGCGGCACGTCGAAAATGGGCGGCACACTAAAGAGGAGGAGGATGACGAGGGATACCATGTTGACACGAGAGAAAAAAAAACCTAGAATCCGTACAACATCAAGATAGAAAACATGACTCTTATATGAGAGAGGAGAGATGATAGAGAGAGATAGATAATGGGCCCTAGTAAGTCGAGAGTTTGATACCACTATGGGATAGGTGAACTCTAGAGATATCTCTCTAGAGAAGGTTCACACGAAGGAGAATGTCCCATATATACTGATGAAGGTCGTCCATTGAAGAAGTTCAAGCATTGTTTGAATTGATTCATGTTGTAGCTACCTTATAGAAGTTGGAGAACTTACAACACAAATGAACATCAATTCCAAGTGCAGCGATGATGGCTGCCAAGATTGAGTTTGTTGACAATGTCAGTCTATCACAACTAACTTGTTCAAGAGACGTGCAAGAGAACCTCTCTTATCTCAACTGTTCAAGAGATGTGAGAGACAGCTCTCTCATCTGACCTGCTTGGGAGACATGCGAGGAGTAAGTGGGCAGTGACACAATAGTCACGTCAACCCTTATGACACATTCAGGGGTCATGTAGAGAGAGAATGTGGGTGGTTGCAACAATCACATCTAAGATGTGTGAGCTTAGCTACACGTAGATCGAGATACTTCATTTTAGGGAGTAGTTATTTATTTCTTATTTTCTATAAATAAGGTATGTATTGCTTCTTTTTGATAACGATGAATGATGATTTTTCTCTTGATTCTATTCTCTCTCTCTCATCAATTCTATTCTTTTTCTTGGCATCTTCTCTCTCTTCTATTACAAATAAAGTTCTTAAAGAAAGAGATAAGAGTTTATTGTTGACTCTCTAATGTGTGAGTCATTTGGAGGGTATTGAGACGTGGATTAGAGGTACTTGGTGAAAGTCTTATTCTCATCAAAATTTATAATAGCTTAATGATTTTTCTTTTATTTATTCTCACTGATATCTAGAAATTGAGTTTCCATTATTATTGTGATCTTGTGCTTACATATTTTCTTCTACAAATGGTATTAGAGTATTGATTTGATTATTTTTAGATTTATTATGGCTTATAAGGTGCATATTAACATCAAGATGTTGAATAAATTTTCTAACTTTAATATCTAAAAGTATCATGTGTATGATGTGTTGTTGCAGACTGACTTGTGTAAGACTTTGGATGGTTCAAAGTTAGACAAGATTAGTGCTAATGATTGAGAGATAATGGAGAAGAAGGTTGAAGGTTTTATTCGTATGTGTCTATTTGATTAAGATCTTTAGCAGGTCATGAATTAATACAATTTAAAGGAACTCTAAAAAAAGTTAGATAAACGATGTGCACCAAAGTCGATGATGAATAAATTGACATTAAAAAGAAAATTGGTTGGGTTACGAATGTCAAATGGAGATGATTTGACATCTCATATTGATTATTTTCATCAATTATTGAATGGCTTGCTTCGTATGGAATCATAATTTTCTAATGAGAACAAAGTTATTATTTTACTTGTTTCTCTCTCTAATTCATATGATCATCTTATTACGACCTTAGTATGTCAGTGCAACACCGATTCTTAAAGATGTTATTGACTCATTGATGGAATATTATCATCAGAAGAAGGATGTTGGTGAGGCTTGTGGTGAAGGTTTATATGTGAAGGATGGAAGAGAACGTGGAAGGTAGAAAAAGAAATGATCGTCAAGAAAGAGTCAGTCTAAGTCACAAAAAAATTGATTGAAAAATTAAATTTATCACGTGTCATGAGAAGGGACACTTGTGAAGAGATTATTCGAAGAACCAAAGTGATAAGACAATAGGAGGTGAATCTAATTTGGCTAATATTGCGAAGGTTGAGGATACAGAAGATATGAAGTCTATTTTGAACTTATTTCAATGGAGGAGTTGTCGAATATATAGATTCTTAATATTGATTATTTTTATTATGTGTCATAATACTGACTGATTTGACTCATACAAGAGTACAATAAGAGTTATTTCTATGAGAAATAATAAAATTTACAAAATTATATACATTAGTTCGATAAAGGTTTGGATGTTTGACGGAGTGGTACAAGAGCTAAAAATATTCGTCATGTTTCAAGCATTATACCAAAACTTGATTTCGCTTAGAGTAATGGAGGCAAATGAATGTTACTTCAAAGGAGAGAATGGTATCCTCAAGATTATAACAAGATTGTTTGTTGTGATAAAGGAAAGATGTCAACGAACGAATGTTTATAAACTTGAGGAAAGTACTATTATAAGTAGAGCTTGTGTTGTAACATTGACTGATTTTATATTTGGTGACATACTTTTATGATATTTACGATTAGGCCATATGAGTGAGACATGTATGCAAAAACTACATGGTGTGAGAACTTGCAAATTGAATTTTTACAAGTATTGTATCATGAAAATAGTGTAGTGTGATATTCAAAATAGTGAAACATAATATGAACAATGTCTTGGATTGTGTTCATTCAGATGTGTGTGGCCTAGTTGATGTGACGTCAATGGATAGTGTTTAATTTTTTATAACTTTTGTTGATGAGTTTCTAAAAAAGTTTAGATATTCTTTTTGAAGCACAAGTTTGAAGTATTTACAAAGTTCAAGACCTGGTGTATGAATTTGGAGAATCAAGTGTGGAAGAAAATTAAAATCTTGTAGACTGAAAATGATACATAATTTAAGAATTCTGAATTTAATCAATTTTGTGATGAGCATGATATTCAATGTTATTATATGATGAAGAAAACTCCGTAGCAAAATAGTGTTACTAAACAAATGAATTGTATGATTATCAAGAGAACACGGTGTTTATGGCTGAATACCGACTTACCTAAGGAATTTTGGGTATAAGCTATGAGTATGACAACTTATTTGGTGAATAGATCATCAAATTCTACTCTTGATGGAAAGATTATTGAAGAAGTATGGACTAAAAATCTTATTGACTATTCTAATTTACATATATTTAGATGTCCAAGATATGTTCTTACACCTACTGTTGAGAGATCGAAACTGGATCTAAAGTCAAATAAATATATCTTCTTGGGCTATAGCCTTGGTGTGAAGGAATATCAACTTTGAGATTCAAAGGTGAAGAAAGTTATTTTCAATAAGGATGTGATTTTTGATGAAGATCACATGTTGAAGTCTTTTTCTATAAAGTAGAAGGTTCAAGAATTCAATGATGCTTGAGTTATAGATAGAGTAAGGTTGGAGGTAGAGATTATGTAGAGTCCTCTTAATTCTGTTGTGAGTAAAGATCGAGTTATAGAATCATCAGAGTTCCTAATTATATTACTACTAGACAGAGTAGGTATGAAGTAAGGCTTCCTACTCATCTTGATGATTATGTTACCTTTGTATTATTTGTAGGAGATAGTGAGCCCACAATATTTCAAGAGACAATTAGTTGTCCTAAAAAAGAGAAGTAGATGTAGACGATATCTGAAGAATGAACATCATTAAACAAAAATCACACTTGAGAATTAATAAATCTTCTTGTAGGAAAGTAAGCTATTAGATGTAAATGAATGTATAAGAAGTCATTGATGATTGATGGTGATTAGTCATAATACAAGGCAAGACTTGTTGCAAAAGACTTTACACAAAAATAGAAAGTTGATTATACAAAAATCTTTTTGCCTTTTGTGAAGCACACATTTATTCATTTGGTATTAGCCATTGTCGCACATTAAAATATAATGCTTGAACAGCTATGAGAAGACAACATTCTTTTACAAAGTTTTGAAGTAGATTATTTTACATACAATGGTCGAAACATTTTATTATGCAAGGGTCATAACATCTTATTTGTCAATTAAATAAGTTATTTTATGGTTTCAAGTAAGCATCAAGGTAATGATACAAGAAGTTTGACTTTTATTTATTGAAAATTAGTTATACGATGTGTGATTTTGATTATTATATTTATATGAGGATGTGATGATGGCTCTCTGATTATTTTGATACTCTATGTTGATGATATATGACGTGACTTAGTCGTTGTATAGTAAATCACATAATTTTAAATTTTATAAAACTAAAATATATATATTTGT